CCCGAGTTGCAGCCGCTTCTGGGTTCCTGCAACAAGCTAGCTAGACTAGCTCTAAGCAGCTAAAACTAAAAATAATCACAAGACGGACGACCCACGCAACGCTCCTCTTCCACTTACACTTTGCTGCGCGTTTGCTCCAATTTCGAAATGTCAAAAATATGGCGAGTTTATTTTTAGGGGAAGCCCCATGCCACACACATTTTATAGCTCGTTGGGAAAGGATGGGAATGAAGACCTCCATTAGGAGTTTGAATTATTGTTGAAAGAGATTTTGGGGGTTTCTAAAAAGATATATTTAGGGAAATAAATAAATTGAAACTAATATTCGAGAATCTATAAAACAATATTTACTTAGAAATGCGTGTTGAATAACCAGGGAAAACCCCCAAAACCACTTTGCTGCAATGCTATAGTTCCCCTCGATGTGTTAACCCCATATGGTCACGAGTACTCATCCAATTAACCCCATATTTTTACGACTCTCATTTTAAATGCAAGTTCTGCAGTCTATAGCCAGTCATGTGTATTTTATTGATTTACAATTTTACCTAGCCGACCCGAGAGGCGGCATATCTTTCAATGTCTCTCCGTTCTCCACTGTGTTTGTCCAGCAGGCAATGTGCACAGGTGCATGTTTGGTTTCGAAACCGACAAATAAGAAAACAGTCGGGCAGGTGAGACGATCCAGACGATCGAAATAAACAATCAAATTGTGTATGCAAGGCATGGCCTTTGAACATTTCTTCGTTTTTCGTTACGATTCGAGAGGGACAAGGCCCACAGTGCGGGCTCTGCAACAATGATGATGATGATGATGATGATGATGATGATGATGATGATGATGACGAAAACTACGCCCTGCGAGGCGACGTGCCAGGCATTTTGAGTTCACAAAAAGCCGTTACACACAGCCGTCATCAGAGTTCAACAGAACTTCAACAACAAAGCTTTTTTCTAGCTGCGAAAATCGGAATCATACTCTGAATCGGACTCCCTTTGGCATTAACCCGCTTGAGCATCGGGGGCACAAAAAGCGCCACTCACAGACTGTGCAAGTTGCAATTGCAATAGGCATTAGGCGGCTAATAAAGAGGAAGCCGTGTTCAATAAAGTAATTGCCGGTTAAAATATACAGCTGAGGGTGACATAGTAGGATTAATAGTATCTAATTTGAAACAAGAAAGGTAGCTTTCTTTGGTAAACCGAAATTTGTATACTCTTGCAGTGAAAATCCATCATAACTCAGTCAGAAATCCATTAATTTTTAACGGAAAGGAACGGAAAGTTCTGTGTTTGTTTTTATTAGGTTAACAAATCTGTTTTCCAAAAAAAAAAAAATTTAATTTTATTTTTTACCAAACATGGCTAGATCGACTCGGCTGAAGACGCTGATCAAGAATATACATATATGATTTATGGGGTTGGAAATTACGCTTTTACAGCTTGACAAGCTTCTTGAATCTTTAATATACATAAAATTTCTAAAGCCTTAGAAACAAATATCAAACTATATTAAACTCGTATCCCATTTTCCGAAACTGAAGCTATTCTCTTGACCACAATTGCCTACCAAGTACACATGCATAGATAAATTTACGATGCAAATTGCGGCATGCATAAACAACACCAATAACAATGGCCAGCTGACCCCGTTATTTGTTGAACTGTACACGAAATAACGATAAAGAAAATGAAAATCGCAGGCCGATATAGCATATGGCCCTGCCACAACAACACCAACAATAACACCTTTGGCCACATGCAATGAGGCAGAAAGATGTTTTAACACCCCCACAGGAGTATGTGTGAAGTTGTTGTGTGCGATTCATTGAAATGAAAACAAATCAATAAAAATTAGGCTAAAATCCGGCTGAGACAGGAAATTGGGAAAGCAGCAGGAACACAGCAGGTGTTTTTAGCTTAAATATACAAAAGAATATGTAGATAAACATGGTTTTTGATTACTTTTATAAGGAAAAGAATTTTTATAGATTGTGACATTTCTTTAAAGAATTCTTTACATAAATTCCGGATTCTTAATATGTTTATCTTTCAATCATAATAAATAATAAATCTTTCAATAATAAAGCTCTCAGTTCTCTTTAAACCTTTTTCCCAACTTTGTGTGCAAATAATAAACGCTTTTTATTTGGTTTACCCATTTGTTATTAAAAATCTTGGTTGTAAACCAAGAGTGCGAATTAACATGTTCAAAAACTCGTAACTGAGTAAAGTATTTATCATGTTGGTGTGAAAATAATAAATCAAGAAAATGGGTTAATTATGTTAAAGTTGTTTATGGATTCCCTCAATTAAATATTTAGCACCAAGAAATTGTATAAACTTATAAAAATATTTTAATACATACTGAGAACGAAGAAACCACATAAAAACATAGGATAACTTTCCGAATTAAAATTAATGCCTGAGTTTTTTTAACTTCGATAAAAATAAATGTATAAATTAATACTTATTTTGTATAACAATTTTAGTCATAAGCTTGCAAAACAGTGAAGGACTCATTTCGGACCCTATAAACTATATATATTCTTGATCAGCATGAAAAGGCAAACCTTTTTAGCTACCTCCGGCAGAAAATAATTTTTTTCAAATATTTTCCATTATTATTATTTTTTTTAAATCGTTAAAATTGTCAAAAATGTAAATTTTTTTAGATTTTAAACTGAGTATGCAGATCTGTTAACCTTATAAAAACTAAGACAGTAAAGCTTTCCGAATCAAAATTAATTCATTTTTGACGTATTTATGATATTTTAGGTGTTCTTGAAGGTATACGAAGGTTACAAAGTCAAAGATAGAGACGATAAGAGAAGATATAGCAACCAAATAACCTTTTTTTTAGTTACACGACATTTTGTAATAGTTTAAGCTTCCTAGCCTTACCTGTAACCTCAAAGCCAGTTCAATTCGGTTCCATACTACCCTTTAATTCTTCTAAATTGATAAATTATAACCTGATAAACCCACGTCTCGTCGTCGTCGTCGGCGGGTGCTTGATTAATTGAATCGAACAGCTGGAGTACTAGTTGGTGGCGTCTCTGTGGGCACAATTGAAACGAAAGCCAGGCCACCGACAACAACACACACCTCTTGATTAATTCGAAAGAAAACAACCGATCGGCGAAAAGCCAGGGCAAAAGCAGACACAAAATAAATACAAAGCAAAGAAAAAGTGCCACCAGCAATTGTCACATTGACGCAATGCTCTTGGGGAGCTGGGGAGCCGTGTGGGAAAGATTGCAATTGGAGTTAATTAAAGAGGCGGTAGGCGGTAGCGTAACAGTTGGCCAGCCGCATTGGTGACACCTTCAGCCATCAGCCACGCTCGAGAGGATTCCATCTTGGCTAATTACTTTCACTCTCTCGCTTTTCATCGCAATCACGCAATTTGTCCATACAGAGATTCGTTTCAATTAAATGTCGAAACGAATGAAAACGAAATGGGATGAAAGCGAGACTCGTAATCTAATAGATACTACTTAGTATGGTTATGAAAACATTACGCTGGCCGCTTCTAGAAATCGAAACTGAAAGTGATTGGGTAATACCCAAGGTGCACTGTGTGTATCCATCCGTTTTGACTTTTAATGTCATGAATCTATTGTCACTGCGAGTTGAGTTTGCGAGCCAAGGAAGTCAGCCGCCTTTGGCTGCGTATTTTTAGCAACTAGACTTGCAACTAGTTTAACTAGTTTTCTGGCCATCGTCATGAGATCATCAGCATCGTCGGCATCAGTATCCTTCGCCTAGCTAGGCAAGGTCGCCTTGGTAGCCTGTGAAAACTAGTTCCGCCACATGCTGCTGGCTCATCTGCCGCAGCTGCCACACGCGACTCTCCTCCGCGTTTTCTCTTTTTTAATATATTACACAATTAGTTAGTAACTTTTGATTTTATTTGCATTTTCTATAGTGATTTCCTCGCGGAAGCTGGCAGCGCCGTTTGAACTTTTAACTCGCCGCATTTCGGTCATCGAACTTGCGTTTCGGGTGAACGGGAATCCGTGTGATGTAAATTCTGTCAGAAATTATTTATTATTTAAGAGGGTATGGGAGAGCATATTAGGTAGTCTGTTCCATAAGGAATATATCAAAGAGAAATATGTAGAAAAAGGGTAGTTTTTTGTGATTTTCTAGAGCAATGAACCAAGATTTTAACAATTTAGAACTGTGGAAATTTGAATGATAAGCAAGCAGCTAATATTGTGGAACTATTTTATAATTTTTTTTTTATACTTTTGTAACCAATTTAGATTTCATTATTCATTCTTTTCTCTTTAACACCAGAAAACAAATAATTTGAAATACTTATCAATACGAATATTTCGTATAGTAAATATATAATTTTTACACATTATTTAACACCTAATAAATAAGCAAATCCAAAATATTAATCAACATCTGGAAACAAAAGAAATCAAAGATAACGAGTTGCATTTTGTACATTTCAAATGTATTTGTCAAGAGCATCTGTTTTAAAATGAAGTTATAATAATTTAATAAATAAAACAAACAAATAAACAGATTTATTTACTAGCTTTGTTTAGACCTTTTGTGAATGGTTGATATCATAATCATATTAGCCAAAGTCTAACCATTTAAGACACTCAATTTGGATTGCAAATTAATACGATTTCGTTTTTGATTTATGGCTCGTTTCGTTGGTGTCTCTATTGTTTCGACCGCCTCTGTAGTGGCTTTGCAAAATTTAGCATGAAATTGGGACGAGGAGGCACCTCCTCCACCTCGGACCACGCTACTCCCACGTCTTTTGGGCCACGCGACCTCTGACGCCACACAAGGCGCTGCACCCACGCTTTTGCATTATCGATTGCTAATCCCCCGCCGACATTGACGGCAGTCTCGTGTCTCTCGGGTTTCTGGGCCTGGTCAATGACCACTAACATTTTATCTGTTCCACACCCCGCCTTCTCTCACTGCTTTGATTTTCTGACTAATTGATTTCTCTTTCTTTTCCACAGCTATGATACCGCACGCGATGGCTTCTTGGATCTGCAGGAGCTCAAGTTCATGATGGAGAAACTGGGCGCCCCACAGACCCATCTGGGGCTGAAGAAGATGATTGCCGAGGTGGATGAGGATAATGATGGCAAGATCTCGTTCCGCGAGTTCCTCCTGATCTACAGAAAAGCCCAGGCCGGTGAGCTGGACTCCGAGTCGGGTCTAAATCAATTGGCCCGCCTCACCGAGATCGATGTGGAGCAGGTGGGCGTCAGTGGGGCAAAGAGCTTCTTCGAGGCAAAGATTGAGCAGCAGCTGAAGACGAATAAGTTCCACGATGAGATCCGTGCGGAGCAGGAGGAGCGCAGGCGCGAGGAGGAGGAGAGGGTCCAACGGCGTCAGCAGTTCCAGCAAAGGGCAGCGATCTTTCAGTAGGTCCTTCGCGGAGGATATAGCTACCCCTTAGTCTAGCGCTTAATGGCGTAGGTTAAATCGAAATGGAGTCGCAGGCATTTTTCAAAGCATCAAACGCATCACATACAGTAGCAGATATATACCCATAACCATAATCCACCCATATATACACTCACTGGTAGGGATCCCTTTGTTTGAACATATTTTTCGGGATTTAAAGTTCTTAATGGACAGTTTTTGAGTTGTTTTTGGAATTAAGTAAAGCTGGTTTTTATGGCAATATTTATGAGGAAGAAAAAATACCCGAAAATTGTTGCATTAACGAACTTTAATTCCCTTTTCATTTACCCTTATTTCCTTCAAGTCTCAGCAAATGGATCCTTGACCTTCATACACAAAAAACCTACGTAGCATATAGATAACGAAATCATACCAAAAGCGTATTTATAGATAACCCTTAGCTAAGAGAAAATGATTTTTACTTTAAGACTTATATTTTATTATCCTTTGGTGTTGCGCAAATTTATTCTATTTGTTATTTCGAAATTTATGATTTTTTAACTTTATATATTTTGAGTTTTGTACTTTGTAGTGTGCCATTTTTATTTCTTTCGTTTTTATTTTTAATTTTTGTGTTTATAAACGAGAGGAGCAATTGTTAGTTAAGAAAATGTTTTATGTGGAATTCAAACCTACGTTGTACATAAAAAAGAAAAAGTTAATCTCTGTTTACTCTGTTGGAATATATACAAATGTATCTGTGGAATATTTAAGAACAATTAAGTTTCAATTTCAGTATTTCACGTTTAATTGTTTAGCAATTAAAAGCAATACTAATTAATAAACTAATTAAATGCGTTAAATACGAGAATACACAAGATAAAATACACACTTACTTTTAGAGAACAACACTTATACTGCAATTTAATGACTAAATAAATGTATATAATACAAAAATGTAATTTTAATGGTTTTTGAGAATCATTTAACTTGGTTTTACATAATTTGGTTACACCTATTTACAAACAAAAAATCGTTTGTGTATTGAAACCTTGTTTCTTGGTCACAATTTCTTTTCCCGCTGGGAACGCATCATCATCCCAAGGATTGGTGCTCTTTCTGTGCTGTGAAGACCATCCATATTGTGTGTATTTTTATATCCAGGTACCAGATAGAGAATTACAGGCGCTGGAACTAAAAAATAGTTTTTGATTTACTTATTATTTTTATCAATTAGGATTTTAAAACTCATAACTCAGCCAAAAAGGCATTAATTTCAAGTCGGAAAGTTGTCTTATGTTAGTTTTTATGAGGTTAACAATTCTGCATACTCATTTTAAATTCTAAAAAAATCAACTTTTTGACCATATTAACTCCTTTCCTTTTTTTTTTGGAAAAAAATGAATGAATTAAAAAAGAAAAAAAATTCTGCCAGAGGTAGCTAGTTGACGCTGATCAAGAATATATATGGTTTATAGGGTCGGAAATGACTCATGCGCGGATTAGCATTATAAAGCCCTCTGATCGGATATAAAAATATACAAATATTACGGATGTAATTGTGAATTTATGAATTAAGCTTCACATACCCCTATTTCCATTTAAATCCAGTAATTCCGCTCTCAAGGACATCTACAGCTTCCTTTCAGTCCCCACCAGCATCGGATCCTTCCGCAGCGAATGCCTGCATCTAAGCATGTCACATTTCAGGGCATAGCGATGCTCACAGACCGGACACTCGTGTGGTTTGAGCTGCAGGTGGTAGCCCTTGATGTGCTGAGACAGGCCATTCCGCCGCTTAAAGACCCGATCGCAGATGGCGCACTTGTGCTGCCGCTCCGTCGAGTGGGTGATGTCGTGCTGCTTGAGACCGTTCAGGGAACCAAATGATTTCTTGCATATGGAACACGAGAAAGTCTGTTTCTTCTTGGCCGCCCTGGACGACGACATGTGGGCCTTGGTTTTCTCTGGCTTTCTTTTCGGACAATTGAGTTCGTGGCGACGATACAGGCGCCAGTGAGCAAAGGCTATGGCCTGACAGTGCCGGCACTTGAAGCTCTGCAGGCGTCGTTGGTGGTTCTTCAGGGATAAACTCAGGCAGATGTATTTCATGTGCTGGCGGAGGCCCAAACGAGAGCGAAACGGCTTCAGGCAGCCGCAACAGCGTCCGAAGAAACTGTGGCTAAGCTTGACAAAATGTCCTTTGACGCGCCGATGGTGGAAGAGCAATTTGAAGCTGGGAAAACTTTGCTGACAAACCCGGCAGGTGTGGGATCTCAAACAATTTTTCCTCTTGTGAACATTTAACTTTCTACATTTCAGTTTTAATTTACGATAACGATCAGCCAGCTTGGCATAATTTGCTGAGACCACAGCCAGCTGGGGATCGGGCAGGGGAAGAGGATTAGTTGCCAGTTGAGTGGCTGGTATGAGATCCTTGTGATGGAGGAAGCTGCTCTGCATGTCCAGTATATCGATCTTTTTCTTCGGTTGCTGTTGCTGCTGCTGCTGCTGCTGCGAAGCTGTTACTGGTGGACTATTTTGCCATTCGGGCTGCCAGTAATCCAAGGGTTCCGTGGCCATAAAGCCCTGGCTGTTGCCTTCTAATTTCAAGGCAGGATTCAGCGGCAAACTGACGGGGACACTCACCATGGGTGTGTTGCTGTGACTCTGAGCAAAATGCTGATTCAGGCTATCCATCGTAATGAACTTGGCTGTGCACAGACTGCAGTTGTGGAGTCTAAATGCAGCAGAGGATTGGACAACGCTGTCGTTGAGCACCACAATGTTGGGCTTGGAGGAGATGGGCAGAGGCACCGGTGGCGGCGGTGGCGGCAAGAGCTCGCAAAGCATTGGATTGGGTATCTGACTTACATTTGTGACAATGGGTTTGCAGGACCGGGTTTCATGATCCGGCAAGGCTGGTGGAGCGGCAGGAGGAGGACCTGCCTCCGGAGCCACCTCTGCACCCTCTACCTTCTCCGTTTTGTACTGAAGATTCGGCAATGGCCATTCCTCCTTGGCATAATTGTGCTCCTCGGTCAGTAGTTCCGATTGCAGCATCTCATTGGCCGTCCTCAAGGGCTGCGATCTCTCCGCCTGCCCCCCGACGTCCGTGTCATCGGGTATATTGATGAACGGATCATCCAGATTTATAATCTCCATGATATCACAATTGTTAATTATGTCCTGGGCATTCAGCATGGGAAAATCACAGAATTGGAACTTTTGCTCAGTCTCCTCGTGCTCACAGCCCTCGTCCTGCTCCAAACCCATGTCTAGTTCGTCGGGAAACAGATTGTCCAGACTCTCGCAGGCCTCCTGCTTTACGCGTACCGGACAAGGCTCCTGTTTGATCTTCAGTTGGCGGCGGTACTTGCGCTGCAGCTCGCTCTGCGCCTGCATGACCACATCGATAAACTGGGAGAATTGCTCCAGCTTCAGGCAACACTCCTTGCAGATATCCTTGGGCAGCGTATCATCCTGCAGTATCTGGAGTGTGGGAAAACATCTCTGAATCATTCCAAATAGCTCAAAGTTGTTGTCAAAGGAAGAGCAATTGAGGGCTGAGGTGCCGCAAAAGCGGCAGGTGGCCTTAACACCTGTTGTTGGGGCTTCAGCGGCACTGGCGAGGGTGGGCTTATTCGCTGGTCTGCTGGGAGCCACGTGCTGCTTCACTGGGGCACTCAGAGTATCTTCTTCTGGCAATCTTACAGTCGGCACAGCGTTCTTTTTGAGTGTCTTTCTGTTGTTTGAGCAATTGAAGTCATCGTCCACGAAGTGACGGCTGCATACGGCACTCCATTTGGAGGGCATCCACTTGCCAGTCCTCTGCGTAAAGTCCTGCCATTTTTGCAGCAGGTCTTTTCTCTTGAAAGGGAATCTAAGGGGGAAAATAACCAGGAATTGTCGGGTTATACTGCGGAAAAGGCGGCTGTACTCACTCACCTGTGAAAAGAAATGCTGCCGGCATGCACGTATTTATCGCTGCAATTAACAACGGCACAGTGGGCGGGCATCTTTTGGTGGGTATAAACACCCAAACACCGGTATTAGTTTGCTAATAAAACGAATTTGTTTCGTTTTGCTTCCAGTTGATGAAAAAAGAAATTGATGTTTGGGACAATCAGCTGTTTTTGTTTTGTTTTGTCTTGCGGATAGTGTTACCAGTTGAGCGGTATTATTTTATCTTTTATATTTGGTTCATTAAACCCAAAAATATAAAACGTAATTAACGTTTTGTTTAAATATTTATAAACATTACTCTTTAATAGATATTTTTAATATAGATAAATAACATTCTTCAGTCTTTCAGTTTTAGTGAATTTTTAATATTAATTTTTAAAAACCCTACTGGTCACACTGGAGCTTATCAGCAACAAAAAATCGAACAGCTGACACGCGCAGCCGGTCCCCGCACCCGAAATCTCACACACATCGACCGAATTTCTGCTATCCCCGCGTACTTATCAATTAGCGCTCTATGACAACCCCCCCGGCGCAGATGTTCGACCCGTGAGCAAAAGAATTTTTGCTCTCGCGGCACGGAAAACTTCCACGGGCTTCAGTCGGTCGATTCGCTCGGAGGCGTTCGCATAGTACGCACAATTTGGCGGAGGAACACAGGCAAGGTCAAGCAAGGTCTTACGAGGCTAAAATTTTACGTGTGTGCGGGTGGCGAAAGGAAGAAAGCTGGAAAAATGGGACAAGCTCGTTTCCTGATCAACGGACTTAGGCAGGGATTTGCCAAGGTGGGCGCAACGAACACGGCCATTAATCCCTTGGCCACCGCCCAGGTGGCGACCCAGAAACGCCATCAACACAGCACAGCGACAAAGAGCTGGTAGGTATATACATATGTCCAAGATTCTGATAAGATTCTCTCTCCTTCTGCTTTGTGGCGCGTTCTAGCTTTCACATAATTTTTACGATCTTTGAGATTGAGATACAGTATCTCCCATGAGGAGTGTTCTGGTTATTAGTGCTTTTCTTAAGGTTTCAACGCAATGAATGTACATACATATTTAAAATATATAAACATTTTCTCCCCCTCAGTGCCTATGATCTGGTTGTGGTTGGCGGTGGAATCGTCGGTGCTGCCTCTGCTCGGGAGATCCTACTGCGTCATCCTAGCCTCAAAGTGGCCATCTTGGAGAAAGAGTCCCAACTGGCCAAACATCAGAGTGGCCACAACTCTGGAGTGATCCATGCTGGAATCTATTACAAGCCCGGAACACTAAAGGCTCGCCTCTGCGTGGAGGGCATGCACTTGGCGTACGCTTATCTGGACGAAAAGAAGATTCCGTACAAGAAGACAGGCAAACTGATCGTGGCCACTGACAAGAAGGAGGCTAAGCTGCTGGACGATCTGCACAAGCGTGGCATTGCCAACAAGGTGCCGGACCTTCGGATGATCGAGGGCTGTGAAATACAGGAGATTGAACCGTATTGCCAGGGACTAAAGGCTCTACATAGTCCGCACACCGGAATCGTGGACTGGGGCCTGGTTACGCAGTATTACGGTGAGGATTTCAAGCGAGGCGGTGGTCACATATACTTGGAGTACAACGTCAACAAGTTTAGCGAGACCAAGGATGACAGCGAGTATCCAGTGACCATACATGGCGTAAAACCTGGTCAAACAGTTCGCACCAAGAATGTTCTGACCTGCGGTGGCCTACAATCCGATCTGCTGGCTGAAAAAACCGGTTGCCCCCGTGATCCCCGGATTGTGCCCTTCCGCGGAGAATATTTGCTGCTGTCTAAGGAGAAGCAACATATGGTGAAGGGTAACATTTACCCAGTGCCCGATCCTCGATTCCCCTTCCTTGGGGTTCACTTTACGCCCCGCATGGACGGCTCCATCTGGCTGGGACCGAATGCAGTGCTGGCCCTGAAACGAGAGGGGTACACGTAAGTTTTATGCGCTAAATTGGTTTGTAATACTATTGGTTATAACTTACTCTCTCCCATTGCTTTTCTCCTATTCAGCTGGGCCGACATTAACCTATTCGAGCTTTTCGATGCCCTGCGCTATCCAGGCTTCGTTAAGATGGCCAGCAAGTACGTTGGATTCGGCTTAAGTGAGATGTCCAAGTCTTGGTTTATCAATCTGCAGGTCAAGGCGCTGCAAAAGTACATCCCGGACATCACGGAGTACGACATTCAACGCGGTCCAGCTGGCGTGCGTGCTCAGGCGATGGATTTACAGGGTAATCTCGTGGATGACTTTGTCTTCGACCGCGGCGAGGGAACGGGAGCACTTGCCCAGCGCGTACTTCACTGCAGGAATGCTCCCTCGCCGGGGGCCACCAGCAGCTTGGCCATTGCCAAGATGATCGCCGATAAGATCGAGACAGAGTTCTGCATCGGCAAGTGATAGCTAAAGTCCCAAAAATAATAGGTCAAGCTCAAATATACAAATTCTAATTTTTTACCGAAATCTATTATAAATGTATTGCATTTCTATTGTAAATTGAATAAAGCGCAACTATTTTTTGTAAAACAAGAAAGGAAGCTAACGGCACTCCGAAGTTTATTTACCCTTGCCTGCTAACATTTCATTCACCTATACATTTTATATTTATAGTTTTACATTCAGAGCTTTAAATTTTTCTGTATTTTCAACGATCGTTTGTTAACTGCTCATACATACTTACTGGTTATAGATACTTACTGATCATAGTTGCTTACTACTCATAGTTTATTAATGATCATAATTAATTACATTTAGAGGATTTTCTCAGATAATAATATCACATTGAACTTACCAAGTACTTTTAACTTTAACTTAAAAATTACCTTAATTCAATTCAAGAATATGGAAATTTTTTTCTTCAAGGGAGCCTCATCCTTGATGCCCAGCACCTTGATCTGCTTTTGCAGTGACTGCTGCTCCTCCAGGCTCGTCTGAATCAGTAGTTTGCATTTCTCGTTTAATATTTTTAAGCCATTTGCCGCATGCTGGCGCATTTGCGGATCGCAGGACTCCTCCGTTTCTATTGCTCTCAGGAGCCGGTAAATGGGCAGCAACATTTCCTGGTAGTCCAACAGATTATCCATGCCGTTTAGGAGCTCAGCGAGGACCAAGACAGCTGCCCGCTTGGCGGGCACATAGTGTCCGCTAGTTAGCTCGCTATTAACTAGATGGAGTAGCTCCTGAAAGAAGTTGTGCACTTGATAGGCCAACAGGCGACAGAGCTGGGCGAGATTGGCGAACGCAGACATGCGAAACTCATTCAGGGGAGACCGAGCTCCATGCATAAAGCAATTAAGAAGCACTGCCTTGTAGCGATAGCAAAGGGGACCCAGCTCCTGAGCGACCTTAAGAATTGCTTCACCCACAACCAGGCGATGGTCCAATGCAGCTGTATCCGACAGATACTCATCGCTGAGCTTGTCCAACACTTCGGCCTCCATCACGTGCACCAATTGAACAAAAAGACGGACGCAATTCAGGAAGACGTAGGATTCCTTACTCTTGAGAGTGGTTAAGGCCAAGGCAATGACCGTGTGCCCTTGGGACAGAGTGACGGGATCCTTCTTCTGTATAAGATCTATTAGTAACTGAATCCCGTAAGCCTGTAGATGATATTGGTCCTTTTCGATCATAGCTCTAGCTTCCAGGAAGTGCTTAGACTGGAGAGCCTTTGTTGGCCGCCAAGATCCTTGAATTTTGGAGAGCACGCTTTGAGCAGAGTTTAATACTTGTGGATTACGTGATTCCCGGGACAATTTTATCAATTGTTCCTGCAAGTCCTTAGTACCTTCCGAGAGACGCAGCTCCTCACTGCCTTCCAAGAGCTCTTCTAATAGGTTCAGGATAGTGAGCAGGATGTGATCATTGTAACCACGCTTCGACTGCATTAAATCTTTGAGAACAGCCAATAACTCCTTTGACTGCGTGGCTAAATGGGTTCTTAAGGGCTGATGGGCCACCATTTGATTAAGAGCTATGAGCAGATCCAGCGTCAGTTGGTATTTTGAGTGGAGAAAATCCTTTAGTTCCGATTCCTGTGATAGCAGATCCACACCTCCATCCTGCTCTTCACTCAACTGGTTACCCATGAACCTTAAGAGCGCCAGGAAGACTTTGCAAGCGAGTGAAGAATGGAAACTAGACAGAAGTAAGCCAGGTAATATCCTGCCCATATCGTGAGCCACGTGATGATCCTGATGGGCCACCTTAACCTGCACTTTAAGGGAATCCTGGCCAGGTAAGATGAATATACGAGGATGAAGGGTGTGCCAAGTGTGTGACTCCATCTCCCCGTCCATTTTCCACTTGAATAATCTGAGTAAAATCTCTGGCAACTCATTATCTTTCTCCCTGTTGTCCAAACACCGGATTATCAGATTCGAAAGCTGGCTTCCTGCTGAGGATTCCAAGGGTAAGCCATCGTATAGCTGCAAGAGGAATGGCAGATAAGGGACCAGGAGCTTGCTGGGTAAACAGGCCACGCTGGAGGAACAGAAAAGTTGCTGCCAAAATAGAATCCGATTACAGAGCTCCTGGTTCTCCATTAATATCAAGCCACTTATCACATCTTCCGGGTTGGTAAGACTCTTCCAGTGCTTCCTTATTATATCCTCGATCTGCCGCTGATTCCTTTCATTCAAATCGTAGAATCTCCTTAGGGACAGGACACCCACACATAATTTATCTGCATCGTGGAGGTAGAACACACAATATTCCCACACTTGCCGTATCATCTTCCCCTGCGTTAGCTGAGAGAATCCCTTCCGGGCCACAATGCCGGAAATTATTTCTGCTTTTCTCGTTGGACTCACATTCGGCGTTTGGTGCAGTGCATCCACTAAACTGGCGAATCCTTGAGGAGAGTTCAACTTGTCCAGCAACTGTTGGTGCAGAGCTTCGGCCAAAGGCTTGCACAGCGGTGTGGCTTTCAAGAGCAAGATGTGCCGGAAGAAATCCGCCTTTAATTCTTTTTCCCAAAGGTAGGAGATTGCCTCATCTAGCTTGGGAGAATCCTCCAAAACTCGCAGGGTCATAATGCCCGCCAAGAGATCCCTTTGCACCTGCTCCATGGAGTTGGCCAAGTGAAACTGTCGGATTTGTAGAAGATCCACAAAGAACTGTATTCCCAGTAGAAGCAGGCAAGGACTAGCCTGAAGTTTTCCCTTAGCTTCTTGGAAGAGTGGTGATTTATAGAAATCCTCATGGAGCTGGCAGCGAAGAGTATAGTAGGACAACTCCTGTGTGGCCTGGATGCAGAGCTTGAGATGTGCAACGGATATAAGGTCCTCCTTGGCATCGCTGTGAAAATCTATGTTTTTTGTAATCACATGGAGCACGTGTTGCACGCGCACTATGTAGGCTACAGTGGGTGACTTTCCGGGATCTATGCTGGATTCCTGTTCGGTCGTTAGTTGGTAAGCCAAGCACAATTCATGCAGTTGCGCAGTTAACTCCATTTTCTCATATTTTTGTAATAAAAGCAAGTTGTTCGGTAAGGAAGTCTGGGATGCAGACGTATTTCCTTTGGTAGCTGCAGACGATTTAAAATACATCAGTTAAATGTATATACATATATAGAATTGCTTACCGAGGGCTCTATCAAACCTTAAACTCTCCAAAAGAGCAAAGTATTTCGCGGTATTTGCCATTTGTATCACACAATAATATAAATTAAAATTTGGCGAAATTTGCAAAACAGTGTTAGAGGTGAGTGTTTACAGCGGCAAAGGTGTAATCGATAACAGAAGAATTGGCGATGAACTTCTATCGACTTAGCCATTTACAAGCCAGATTAAAGCGTCATTCGTTAAGTACGGTAGAGCGCGTGAAATATCGATTCACTGCAGTGAGAGAGAGCGAGAGAGAATAGTAGTTTAGTAAGGCTGTTTGCAAGCGGTTTCTTAAAGGCCTGAATCAAAATACTAGAAAGTTGGATGGCGTTAGGAGATTCCGAAGCGGGTGCCTATCGATAACTTGGCTGCACTGGCGCAGATTGCAACTATACCGCCGCGCTGCACTCTGGTCACACTTGCCCAAAACACCAACAAGAGCAGGAAAATCGAACAACTTTCTTTTTCTGCAGTGTGTGGTGTGTGTGTGCATTGCGAAAAGCACAAATTGCGCAGAATTTGTTTAATTACGGCTAAGCGGATCCAGCTCCTACGTGGATTAATTGGCCAGCGGCACCGAAGCCCTGCCTGCCGCCCCGCGAAAAAAAGAGTTGCAAAAAACACACACCTACGCGCAGGCAATTAAAACCGTGTGATTGATCCGAGTGCGAGTGTTTGTGTGTGTGCGCGCGTGTGTTTGTGAGTGAGTGTGTGGGGCAGTAAACATTTTCTTTTTCGAGAATCGCCGTGGAAAATGAAGAAAATCCTGTCCAAGTTCGAGCGCAATGAGAACTCGCGACTGGATAATCCGCACAACAGCAGCAGCAGCTCGTCCTCCTCCAACGAGAAGAACAGCTTTGTGGGCAAGGTCTTCACAGTGGGACGCGTCACGGTCACCGTCGAGGATGTCCTGGCCGAAGGTGAGTGTGAGTGCCGCCGAGTGTGCGGTGTGGTGCGGTATCTGTTCTTATCTCCCTACACGTAGTTCTCAGCGCGATTATGCTTATCACCTGTCCGACTTACAGGTGGGCAGCAAAACTGCGTACCCCCGATTCCCGATAGATTAGATAAAAAAAACCCAAGTATTTCCGAAAATGTGGGGCGTACACAAATGGCAAATAGAAAAGCATTAAAACAGCTGCGTATCCCCTTAATTAGGGGCGCCACTTGTCGCATTTCCGATTATACATACAGTTGAAATTACCTAACTGGAACCAGAGTGAAATATAATGGTTTCGTGGGAAAATAACATGTTTTCTTGAATAAAACTAATTTTTACACGTTCTTAACTGAGACATTTGAATGCAATTATGTATAAGACCGGTTGTCAAAAGGCAAAACTATGTTTTGAACCAGATCTGTTGATTTGCGTTTCCCTGCACACTGTAGCAACATTTCAATAATGTTTTATAAAAAGAGAACTTTAAAATTATGAACATGTCTTTTTACATACAGCAAATAATTTTAAAATGTTTTGTAAAGTTTTATTATTACTTAAAGTACCTTGAACTTTCAACCTCCACCTTTAACTTTGAAATTAAGACAATGTAATGTTTGTCCCTGGCCCAAAATTATATTCATAACATTTTTTTTCGAGCGAACATTAATTCCAAAAGAAGTGCTCCAAAAGAAGTGCTCCAAAATGTTTACGTTAAAACTTTATTAGTTTGCCAAATTTAAAGTTGTAGACTCATGAAGCTCGTCTGTATTAAGGCAGTCTCTGGTTCTGGTTGGTTTTTCCATAGAATTCCCATAGCCAGTGTACATGGCCACAAATCAATTGAATCAATTATGTTAATTTAGCCAATGAAGCGGCAAGACCAACACTCATCAGCACTCACTTCATCTTCTCCCGGTTGTCTCTCCCAGTTTTCCGTCTAAGCGCTTTCCACCTTGTGCAATTTTCTATTCTTAATGGCAAAGGTCGCATTTCCCCGGAGGAAATCGCCTGGTCTTCGTCCTTGTCCTTGACTTGCGGAGTGCACAAGTCGCCATTCGCCATCCCCATTCCCATTCCCATTCGCAGTGCCTCCTCCTCTCTGGCTCTCTGGCATTTGATCATCTAACGATTGCTCACACAATATACCGCCTTCCATTCCATTTTATTCGCTACCTTCTTTCCTTGCTTGCTTTTATTTTGCTGCTGTTTTGCTCTTAGCTTTTACATACTTTTTGGCAAGCAACTCAGTTCGCAAATGTTGTTTTGCTGCGGTGCGCTGGCGCCGCTGTCAGACAGTCAGCTGTTGTCAAAAAATACCCTGTAATTTATGGGGCGGTGTGAAGTGTGTCACTTCGCTTGGGGAGATTGCAGTTAGCGTCAGTTGGCAATGGAACAAGGTTAAAATACGTAGCTTTTTTTTATTTCTTTAAACTATTTACTTACTATTAGCTTTTAGGTATAAACCTTAATTTTCATAAACTTAGATAACATCTTACTGATAGAAAATAATAACTTGAGATCAGTGTAGAGTGTAAATAAATTTCGATTAGTCTGTAAACTTAAACTATATCATTGAATACTTGTTCTCATCTTATATACAAGATTTTTAATCTGTAACTATTTAAGTGAGCATTATTTCTCTATAAAAATGAATAATATATCTTAGTATATCCTTAGAGTGATTGCTAATGATTCTTTACTTTACTTAATGTTGCATATACCCAAAGTGAAGCATTCATTACTCACCATTTACCTGTTTTTTTTAGCTTTTGAGTGCCCAACAAGACAGTCGCAATAACAACAAACAACAAATACATTTGAAAATGACTAAGCGACAAACAGTTAACGAATGTAGCTTCTTCCCTCTGCCAGCGATTTTAGTCCCCCCCTTTAAGCCCCGTTTAACCCCCTTTCGAAGCCCCTTTCACACCTCTTACACCCCTTTTTTTCTCTATCGCCGAACTCGTTTGCGTTTTAAATTGCCTTCTCAAGTTTTCTCGCTTCGTTTTCGTTACAATTGTGCACTGTTATTGTTGCTTTTCGTACTATTATTACTGTCTCTGTTGTTGTTGTTGTAGTGCTTGCTTTTTCTAAGCTTTTTTATTATTTTGTCAAAGTTGATTTGTTGCTGTTGGAAGGCAGCAACCTTCAGCATTGATTAACATTTGACGCCATAATTTCACAAAGTCGAGCAAAAAAATATCAAGCAAAAATGGTTACATTCATTCGCCGCCCGTTATTCATTTCTCTCTGTCAGAAAATAAAAACACGGTGAAAAATAATAAATTTCCAAGTATTTTAAAAGAATATTTAAATCCTAAATACGTGAATATTTTCTCATTGAATTTTTAAACTTAAAAATATACTTGTATTGTAAGGTATTTCGAAAGATATAAACGTTTGTTAAATTATTAATTTTTCGATATGTATTTGTTTTAATTTTAAAATTCCAATTTCATTCTTAACTCCTTCCTTAATATCATCCAAAAAAGACATTTTTCATTAAAATTACCAAGTTTGTACTTAAGAATGTGCTATTATTCATAAAATAAAACTGTTCAAATCGATTTATTTAAATAAATAAATATTTAATAGCTGAACGATTTTACTCGATATTTATTGCCAGTGCACGCCCCCCATTGTCTCCTCCCACTTGAGTGTCTCCCAGTTGAGTATTGTTATTGTCGCATGTTATTGTTGTTATTTCTGTACGTGACCTTCAATAGTTTAGTTTATATATTGCGTTGCCTTTTTTATCGTACATTTTGAAGTGGCGCAAAGCGACAGGTGGAAAGGGGGAGGGAGCGGGGTTCTCTACTTGAATTCTATTTGCAATAAAATAGAATAAAACTCATGCAAATCGGCTGTTGGGCAAAAAAAAAACTTGTGTAAATCGTTCCATGGCCAGACCCGCAGACAGACAACAGCTATTGTTTTGCTTGAAGAATACCCTGTAATTTCAACTTTATGTAGTATCTGCCCCAGAAAACGTGAATAATGTGAGCGAACGATATCAGAATTTAGTCACGTATCTGTAGATATATGTATGAGTTCAATGAGACTACAAAGTAATATTAAATGGAATTGTTTTACATATGTACATAGGTTTATCTATTTGATATTAACATTATTATAAATATTTTTAATATATATCTGAGTAATTCCAGGGTATTTACTTCCTTGCCATTGTACTCCCCTTATTTTCACTGTCGCTGTTTACTGTTTACAGTTGACAGCTGTTATGGATGTCTAGAACCCTCTTACTAATGCTCCTTCCTCTCTCTCTCTACCTCCAAAACACACGCAGGTGGCTTCGCCATGGTCTTCTTGGCCCGCGGCAATGGCGGAGGCAGTGCCTCGGCCACCAAGTACGCGCTGAAGCGCATGTACGTCAACAATGAGCACGATTTGAATGTGGCGAAGCGCGAGATACAGATTGCGGTAAGAGTAAATAATAAATCAGGACAAAGAAAACCTAATCTAATGGAGCTTGTATCCTTTGTAGAGCAACCTGAGTGGGCACAAGAACATCATCGGCTATGTGGACTCGAGCATTACGCCCACCGGGAATGGGGTGTGCGAGGTGCTGCTCCTGATGCCCTACTGCAAGCATCACATGCTGGCCATGATGAATGCTAGGTAAATTAACTTATGAATTAATTAATTATATATAATAAATACATACATGTAATTAGGTTACACGTTGGCTTCACGGAGCCCGAGGTGCTCACCATCTTCTGTGATATTGCCGAGGCCGTCTCTCGTCTGCACTACTGCCAGACTCCGATCCTGCATCGTGACCTGAAGGTGGAGAATATCCTGCAGACGGACGCCGGGAACTTTGTGCTCTGTGACTTTGGCTCGGCCACGGCCAAAACGTTGAATCCCCAACAGCATGGCGTCACTGCCGTGGAGGAGGAGATCCAGAAATATACGACGCTCTCGTATCGAGCTCCCGAGATGATAGATTTGTACGCTGGGAAGAGTATTACGACCAAGGCGGATATATGGGCTCTCGGTTGCATGCTCTACAAGCTCTGCTTCTTTTCGCTCCCCTTTGGGGAGAGCACGCTGGCCATTCAGAGCGGACAGTTCTCCATTCCGGACAACTCCAAGTACTCGAAGGGTATGCATCAGTTGATCAAGTATATGCTGGACACAGATATGGAGCGAAGGCCCAACATCTGGCAGGTGTGCGAGGTGGCCTTTCGGCTCTCCGGCAAGGATAATCCCGTACAGAATCTGCATGTAAGCATTAAAGATTGTGAAAGCTAGTTCTCCTCAAATTAATGGATATATTCCTCTCTAGAAAACTCCCACACCGAACTTTGACCTGCTGCTAGTGCCTCCGTTTGAATCTGAGGCCAAGAGGATCAGTGCTGCCGCCTCCAAGGCAGCCAAATCGCAGAATGTCTCTGTTGTTGAAGCGGGTACCAGTGTTGCTCCCCGCTCCCGGCCCAAGGGCTCCTCCGCGGTGCATGGAGGCAATGCCTTGGGGCTCGGCTTGCCTCCCAGTCCATCGCCGAGGCTAAATATCACCTCACCGCAGCCGGTGGCGGTGGCAGAGCAGTTTCAGGCCAATTTCCCAGCCATGCCGACAGCAGTGCCAGCGGCTGCACCTCCGCCACAGGTGGCCCCGGTGGTGCCGCCAGTTCCTGCCAGCAATCTGTTTGAACCAAGCGGCTATCCCGATCCCTTCAATGAGCCAGCCGGGGGAGCAGCAGCTTCAGCAGCTGCAACAGTTTCAGAAGAGTCCCAGAAGGAGGAGGTGGTGGTGGTGCCTCAGGATTTGGGTGCTGGTGGTGACGGCGGCACGCCCACGAAGAGTATGTTGACGGCACCAAAACCGAGCGGAGGCGGTGGACACAGACGCAATGTGAGCGATACATCGGCCTTTAATAAGTGAGTCTTAGGTTTAAGTTTTTAAAAATCATTAAGATATTTTCCCAACAGAGCTTCCAAATAACAGTTCTAGTTTAGGTTTAGGTTTGGTTGTTTTAGTAAAAACTCTTATTTTTACTTTTATTTAATTATTGGTCCGATTTATCAAACAGAATATACATTTATCGCACATAACTCTAATTATTTATAGACTTTCGCATATCGTAATTCATTTTCAATATCTTTTATAACCCCCAATTTAAAAATGTTATTTGCGAGCTCTGTTTTCTATGCTTTGTCCAAGCACGATCTGTATGTGTTTTGTTCTATGTTTCTGCTCTTTTCTCTGCTCTTTCACTCATTTTCTGCTTGTCTCTCTATGTGTGTCCTACTTAAGAGCTACAAGTGACCAGGATGATGATGAGGCCGTTGATGAGCCGCAGAGTCAATAGATACTATGTAGCCTCAAGCTTCTCTGTCCTTTCTCTATTAACTTGCTTGCTTGCTTGCTTATTATTCTTTTCCATTAACTCTCACTGATCATCTTTACTCATTCATTACTTACTTAGAACGTTTGCCAATGAGACAAGTCAATTTCTGGCCCCGTTTAACAATAATTTGGCTGCCATGGGAGATGGTCCCCAGACCCTGGCGAGTGCTGCCTCCAATCCTGGCATATATGCCGCTTCTTCGGCCAACACGGCGCCAGTATCCATTAGCGAACTGATGAAGCCGGGTCATACGGCGGTGGAAAAGCGAGTGGAGGCCTGGAATCCGTTCGAGGAGGAGCAACCCTTCAGCCAGATGACCGAAGATCACATCTTTGAGGCGGAATTCGATAAGATCCGGCAAAGGGGAAGTCAAGGCAGTGAGTTGAGGGGGATTTATTTATTTATGTATGTGAAAATGTTGTAAACTTGGATAAATCGTAATTATACATATCGAAAGTATTTAAATTTACATGATAACATATATTCCGACTTCAAACTATCGATTTATCAAACTTTGCGTTAAATATCTATAAATTCTATAGAAATATCTATTAGTTAAAACACTTAAAATCTTGAATACATTTTAATAAAGTCGTTTTTAACGCAGGCATCACCACCAAGTCGGCGTCCACTACCTCTACGCTGACACCCACTGAGCAGAATGCCTCCGGAGTAGTGGTGGTGCCCGTCACTGCCCCAGTGGCTCCTCCCGCTGCTCCTGCCCTTGCTGCTGCTACTGTGGCTGCTCCTCCGCCGATTACAACCGCTGTGTCGCCGCATCCGCCACTGGCCTCCGAGGATCCCTTTGGATCGGCACCATTCAGTTTGCCACCCGGACTGCGCGAGAAGGCCAGCTCGCTGCGCAAAACCGGAGGTAAAGCATGAAATTCCACCTTTAATCGTTGTTTGCAAAAAATGCCAGAATACGTTTAGTTTTCCGATTGTTGCTTTTGTTCGCTCTCTCTTGATCTCGATGCAGAAAGTGCAGAAAGTGCAGATTTGAACGTAGACGTAGACGTAGTCTAAAAACTTCCTAGTAACGATCAGCTCAGCTCAACTATAACACACCTTCCTCCATCCGAAAGAGGAGCAGCTCCCAGCCAGCGTCAGCGGCAGCCCCAGAAAGATCAGCTATAGATTATACACTAATCCGATCCGATCCGATCGATCGAGGGACATAGCGTGTGCCATGTAGAAGAAGATCGGTGGCAGAATGAACACAGAGCCCTACATTAAGTGCAATCAATTGAATTTGTAAATATCCCCAAGCACCAGCCACACACTAAACACTAAACCCAACAATAACCCAACAAAGAAACCAACTTAACTTTGTGCAATAATCTGCAAATGTAACAGAGGGTCATCGGTGTCTCTTAAATACGCTTTTGGTGAAAGGAAAAGATAATGATTTGTGACATTTGTGAAAAATAGGAGCCAAGACCTAATAGAACTTGAATATTAATTTGAAAAATCTTTAAAATACTTATCCACTTTCTGTTGAACGTTTATAAAAATGGGATTCTATCAGAAAAGGAAATATTATAACAGTGGATTAAAAACTATTAAAGTGTTATCCCTATCCTTGCGACTATAGTACACAAAAAATACGAACAGTTGTATCATTAAGGTTCTAATAAAATCTCTGATTAATGGAAAATATAATATCGTGTCATAGTTGCATGACAGCTATTTTTCTTCCTGTTCAAATAACTTTTAATTACTTCCAAAAAGACAATTCTAAACTGTTTAAATTAGCGAGCTTTTTTAATATTTCAAGTAGTTAATGACGTTCAGAGTTCGTAGTCGAGTTTGACACAGTATTCGGTGTTCATTTATTTCTTTAATATTAATTTGTAAATCCCCCAAATTTAATGAAGTTTTGAATGCATTGTCATACTCGCAAGTTCTTATATGGTTCTTATGGTTATATTTATAAATCAAAGAAGACACAATTACCCGCTTGCACCACCCTAAGCTCTCTATCTCTTCCTCTAACAAATTTAACACAATCTCCAATCAAAAGCGCTTCTAACAAAGTAATTCTTGGTGCTGGTCCTAAGCTAAGAAAAAAGAAAACAAAGTAAGAGAAACCAAAAAGAGAAATTATTAAAACGCCTATTTAGTAAATATACTTTAGTCTCTATGTAAATCTTAGTCATTAACATTAAAAACAATTAGCGGTTGTGGTTTGCGAACTAACCAAAACAAGCAAACAAACAAAAAAAAAGAACAAAATTTCAATTATTTTAATTGTACAATTTCATTGGACTTATTAATATGTGTAAATGTATCTATCTACTCTGTGTGTAATTTGTAAATTTAGCTATAACTAAGAGAAATTATAAATAGTACTATTTATTCATGTTGTTGGCGTAGAAGATGAAAGAGTGTGAAGCAATTGTTTTGGCAATAATTTGCATATCAAAGTTATTTAATTACTTATCAGTACATGTGTTATCAACGTGCAATTTTCAGAGATTAATGCTAAATGCTAGAGAGATATTAAGGAGATTGATAGAAATTGCTGATGATTTGAATTATTTTTAGCTTAGTCTTCAGTATCTAAATAAAAGATTACAAATCCCCAGTGATTTCTTTCAGCACTCCGATTTAGTAACATTTATCGCTCAATTCGATTAAGATTTTTTCCCACAATTTCTGATTGTTTATTTTATAAATAAATATTTTTTGCGCTTTCGTTGAAGTTCGCCTCAAGCTGCGTTCTCTGCGGATGTGGCAGCAGAAAAGAAACGATTAAAACTGAAATCGAAAATCAATTGTTAATAATTATACCGATAGCAAGTCCGAGATAGTTCCAAATCCTATCGCTCCACTCAAAATGTTCAACCTAACGTTAACTAACTATCTAAAACACCTGTTAATACTGTACATAAGTTTAATCGAAAGCGAAAAGTAAACTAAACACCTTGAGGCGATGGCCCCCCAAAGATCTAAAGTAAAAAACATAGCAATAATTAGAGAGAAACCAAGATGAGCGATAAGCAACAAAAGTCAGGTAACCAAGACACATACAAGCAACTTATTATCAGATGATCAACAAATACAGATTATATATATACATAAAGCACTATATATTTATACAAAAAAAGAAAAGAAAAACAGTAACGAAAGGGCGTTTAGCTTAAGTTCAGGCCACAAGAATTGTATGAGAATTAAACCAAAAATGAAACTAAAGCAAAACTGCAATAAATTCTATATATTATGTTTCAAAAACCAAACCAGAACTGAACATATTCAGCAAAATGTAAATCACAACTAACTAAATCTGTGTGGGAAGTTAAACAGATCTTTCATATATCAGTTGAACGTTTTATGAAAATTAATTTTCTTTTATGATTGTAGAAAATAAATTTTTAATGGAGTATTTTTTTAGTTTTTAAATGTAAAATCACTTTTTGTATATTTATAATATGTATTAAACATAACAATATTTTCGATATGACGTAACAATATAAAATTTGACTTATGAAACATAAACGTTCAGCTGATATTTGCGAGATTTATAATTTAATAAATAAGTAAATCGGTTTATCTTTAAGGCATGCGCAGGGTCTAGTTCATTTAATTCGTTTTATTAACATTATTATTCTTTTAGTTTAAAAGTATTTATTTTTATTTTTGTTACCGAGACTTTTTTCTCTTTCTTTCATTAAACTATATTTTTATATTTGTTTGTTTGACTTTCATGCATTCATTTTTTAAAGTATTTTAGTATTTCTTCAGGAAATCTTTTTGTTCTTTTCAGTTCCTTTTATTTTTCTCTCTCTTTTTTAATTGTTTGCTTTAACGTAAATTAGTATTATATCATATATGTATTTATTTTTCTTTGGTAATTTAATGGTATTTAAAAATCAAAATATATACCTGGTATTGAGAGTGACTTCAAGTCCTTTAAATTTTCCAACCAAAAACTGTGCATGCCTTTTGAAATCTAAGCACAAATCACCGATTTAACCTCTGGGACCATATCTAACATCGATTTCCAGCTTCTGTCTTCGCCATTTGTCACCCAAAACTAACCCTCCAAAAAAAGATTACGTATACGTCACGTAGAGCAACAAAATCACTCAGAAAAAGAACTCGGAAAGAACTCATTACATTTCTGGGGTGCAACAATCACTCACCGCCCATATGTTCCATCCATACTTAGTTGTAGATCAAAAACAGCCGCTAATCCCCTTGTAAAACCCTCGAAAACCCGTAATCTCATTACCTTACTGCATAAAAGTCCTTCGCTCTCGTCCACAGCGAAATTCATCGGCGTTTCCTCCGGCGGAGCTGGTACCCTGGTGACCGGAGGAGGAGTGGTTGCCGGAGCCAATACCGCTTCCAACTCCAACTCATCCAAGTGGCTGCTGTCGCCCACTTTGGAGGTGTCCAGCGAGGAGAAGACCTCGCTCATAAGCAAACTCAAAACGGATTCGGAGAATGGCGGAGGAATCGGCGGAGGAGTGGGAGCTGAGGGCTATGTGAAGCTGCCACTGGAGGATCGCAATAAGTACGAGAAGCTGCGCAGCAAGGATCAGCCGACCTCTGATGACTCGGACTCCGACGAGGGCGCCGAGTTCTTTCAGCAGGACAGCGACGAGGGCTCCTCCAGTTTCATCAAGCAAATGCAGATGGTGACGAGCACGCTGCCGGAAACCATACACAAGATCCAGCAGGTGGCCTATCACAAGGTGGACAAGACCTCCTCCCATCTACCGATTGTGAAGAAGCTCCGGCAGACGACGACCAAGAAGCCCACAAGTGCTGCCCACCAGGCGGCCCAGCAGTTGAATCTCATGGCCGCCGCCGTGGCTGCCCAGGCGGAAGAAGCTGCGAAGGCAGCCGAATCGGATGGGGATTCCATAGGCTCAGCAAGTGACCTCCGTGCCGAGGACGATGACCTGTTCGATGAGAATCCACGCAGTCAGACCCTGGCCAAGCTGCGTCGCCCCATGCCCGCTGAAATGGATGGCATCAGTGAGTCGGTGAAGACCTGCAGCAGTTCGGCCTACCATGCCGAGTGCGAGAGTGTCACCACGCACGAGGACGATGTCAGGAGTCGGGTGGTGGTCAAGGTGCGCATGAAGAAGAAGGACAGAACCAATCTGCTGCTAGTAACCGCCGGTAATGGTGACCATCCGAGTGCCCCTTCCGAGGAACTGAGCCCCACCTCCAGCGATCTGCACAAGTTCGGTGATCGTCCATTGCTGCTGGATGATGAACTGGACTATGGGGACTCGGGGGAGAGCAAGACCAGCACCGAATCCCCAATGGCGGCGGCGCCGGCTGTTCCCGAGTCCGAAGAGGATGTGTTTGCCTTGGCGCCCTTTAAGTTGCCCGTGGGCATACCTCTCAAGAGAAAGAGTAAACCCAAGGCGAAGGAGAAGCGCCAAGCGGAGCCTGAAATGTGGACTTCCACGCCGGTTAAAGGTGGAGAAGGCACCTCTTCTGCCGCTGCTGCTGCTTCCTCGAACTTTGCCAGCTTTCCCGCAAATGGGGCATTGGGGGAATCCCCGCAGCTAGATGAGTTCAATGAGCCCATCTTTAATCCGAATCCCTTCCAGGATAACTTGCAGAAGCAGGAGGTTCGAGAGAATCCTGCCCCGCAATGCGATCTCTTCGGCTCGGAGCCCTTTCCCCAGGTAATACGCACCATTGAACAGAACCCCTTGAACCACCAGCAGCTCCATCACTTTCCCAGTCACAACAATAATAACAATGTGATCAAAGTGCCCGCCTCTGCCTCTGTCTCCGTGCCTGTGCCTGTGTCTCTGCCCCTAGCCACACCCGTCTCCGTTTCTGTGGCTGCTCCCCAACTGGTGACCATAAATCACTCGATTATTATCAACAAAACGCCGGAACCCTTGATGAGCCATCATAGCAACATTAATAATAACAATAATAATATTATTATTAACCCAGCGGCCACCAAGTCCACCAGCAGTGTCTATGTGAATGTGCCGTCTTACACCAGCACCAGCAGCTCCTGCTCCACCGCCGTTAACCAGCCACAATCCTCACCAGCTGCAGCAATACCCCTGCCCGTACCCGTGTCCGTGTCCGTGCCCGTGCCCGTGCCCGTTTCCGCTCCAACTCCATCCGGAGCCCTCCACCTCCGACCTTTGCTGCCCATTGCCGATAATGCCTATGTGCAAATCTCTCAAGATCGCCTCTCCGACTTCACGCCCGACGATGAGGAGGAGCCCGTGGTGGTGCGTGGTGCCGATGTGCTGGCAGACGATGGAGTACCTGCCACTGGCAAAACCAAGAAGGAGAAGTCCCATCTGGCTGTAAGGGTGCTTCCGGGGAAGCTCACCCAGAAGGTCAAGGGTCACTCGTCCTACAAGAAAGTGAGTGCCGCCGCCTTGGGATCCACTTCGTCGTTGAGTTCCGGGAGCAAGCAGAAGCACCAGCGTTTGCAGTATCAGTCCCACGACGACGACGACGACGATGACGATGTGCAGGATCAGGATGAGAACAGGAAAGCTGGCGGAGGTCGCAATTTCCAATCCAATACCATACAAAATTCCGCCAAAACTGGCTTCAGTAATATGAGTTTCGAAGACTTTACCTCCGACCAGGAGATGGATCGTCTCTCCCGGACGATTCCCTTCGAAGTGGTGAGGAACGAGAAGATGCTGCTGGAGGCAGAGAAGAAATTCGGATCCCTCAAGAGGAGAAATAATCTGTTCTCGTAGGCGAAAGCTGGAAAAGGGAAACTATCAAGGAGATACCTGAGACTGAGTGTTTCAAGACTACTATTTGGCATTTCGTTTAAGCTTTTCTCCTACGTTCCGTTTTTTCGTATTGAAATCTCTTCAAAAAGAGCTACCCACAAGAATGCTACATCTTATAAACAAAAAAAAACTAAATGGGACCTAAAATATTTTATTATCTGCTTTTGAGCAGATTTTTTAATGACTTCCCAAATCCTAGCGTTTTCGGTGTGTATTTTTGAGCCTAGTATTTATGAATGAAGAATGGTTAATAACATTATTAATTATATACACACCTATTATACATTCAACAAAGAACAATATACATATACATATTATATACCTATATATATATATAACTGTTATTTAGTGCAACAAATAATGTAAACTAGATTTTTAGAAGGCGCGCGCGAAAAACATGTTCTAGAATTTATACAATGCGTAAGTTTACCAAAGTTACATTTACATTATTGTTTTGTGGCATTTTTCAGCTTTTGAATTATTCCCTCAATTTATTTATTTATATTATATACAATTATACAACAACAACAAAAAAAAAAACTAAATATGTGATTATACACCCAATAACAAGCAAACAAACCCCAAAAAATACAAGCAACAAATTAATTATCACTTAAATTGCATTCACTAACAAGAAAAGGTATTTAAGCATTAATTACTATCTATCCATATCGATTAACATACTCTCGTCTATGTTAGTTAAACCATTTGTTTTTGCATATACATGTATGTATTATCTCGACTATATAAAATATGCGCATATTGTATTTATTTTAATCGAGTGTTTTAATTGGGGAAATATTTTGGATGCCTTTAGATGGGTTGAATTTTATTTCAGATGAAAGTATTTCAAATGTTTACTTTTTTTTTTATTTTTAAATGTTAATACAAGTAGCATAAATATTCTAAATTATTTTATTTTATACTTTCCCCAAGACTAGGCCTAATATTTCACCCACGACTGTTTACGAGGGCAGTGTGTCATTTTCTAGATTTTGTATCTTAAGGTAATTCTTCCAAGACATCTGTTGCTTTTGCAAAAATAAATAAATAATATATAATATATACCCATTGTTGTGGTACCTTATATTTTCCCTCTCACCGATTGTTGCTATTTTCATACATTTGTCACAGTATTACCATTGCATATTTACAAATACAGTAGGCTCTCGTAATCAGAAATCTATATAAAATTGATGTTATGTATATTTTTAATGTTTTAAATATTTTTTTAATCATTTTATATATTGATATCTTTTTTTGGCATAAGCAATGCTTAATATATGAAGTTTTAAATGGTATCCGTTAAGTTAGTTGATATTAATTTTAATATTTCAAGCACTCAGGCCTAGAAGAAAACCTCAAAAACCTCATCATAATTTCGTTTAGTAAAGAGCTACCTTCTATATATTCAATATATTACATATTCAAGATATTTTTTCAAGTTCACCGTACCCAGTTTTCACTGTACCCGCATTGTAAACAAAAGAACAGCTGAGCGAGCGGTGAGTGTGTCGCTGTGTGTGAGTGTAGCTTTTGCGTTGTGAAAAATCCACAGAAAGATAAGCGGAAAAAGTTGCCAGCACAAGCAGAAAAAATACGAAAAAAATTCCAAGTCCAAGTCCAAGGGAAAGAGACCTAGACAGAGTCACAATCTCACGTATCCGACAGATACGAAAATCCAAAATAATCCAAGCCCAAACCATTCCGTTGAAATACTTCAAAGTGAGTACATCTTACCCACCACAATGCTACCGGACGAATGGGCGGATAAACGGATCCTGGTCAAGTGCGGCGGCTTCTCGTCCCAACTGGCCAAGAATGTCACCGAGGAGGTGGACGGTGATCCGTTGTGGGGCTCGCGTTTCGATGCCACCAACCCGGGGGCTGTGGTCCAGACGCATCTGGATTTCTTGCGCAGCGGCGCCGACATCATCCTGACCAACACCTATCAGTCCAGCGTGGAGGGATTCACCAAGTACCTGGGACTCACCGAGGCCGAGGGCATCAAGCTGATGGAGACGAGTGTCGCTTTGGCCAAAAAGGCCAAGGAGCAGTATCTGCGGGCGACGGGAGTGGAGGAATCCTCGACTTTCCCCTTAGTTTTGGGCTCTATTGGACCCTATGGCGCCTGCCTGCACGATGGCTCCGAGTATTCCGGCAACTATGCCAACCGGGTCACCAAGGACGAGTTAAAGGAGTGGCACAAGACAAGGATTTGGTCATGTGTATCGGCTGGCGTTTATGGTTTGGCCCTGGAGACATTACCATGTCAGTTGGAGGCGGAGGCAGTCACGGAATTTGTCATTGATCTCTGTGTGAAGACCACTTTCTGGGTGTCCTTTCAGTGCAAGGTGAGTGTTTATTCCTGAATTTTATTTATTTTTCATTCTTCTAAGTTCACATATATTTTATAATTTAATATAATTTATTTAAAATTCAGGATGAATCTCATCTGGCCAGTGGTGAATCCTTTGCAACAGCAGGCCTCGCCATCTGGCGTTTGGTCAAGAGCCGAAAGGCCGAGGATCGATTCCTGGGCATCGGCGTGAACTGTGTGAATCCTCAGTTTGTGACACCGCTGCTGACATCCCTCATTGAGGCCGTGGGAGCGGATGAACGTCCTCCTTTGGTGGTCTACAGCAACCGCGGCGAGATCTACGATGCCGAGCTGGGCGAGTGGACGGGCACCGGCGAACAGGTGGCCAAGTTTGTACCCGAATGGCTTAACCTGGGCGTTCGCATCGTCGGCGGCTGTTGCCGGGTCTATCCGGCGGATGTGCTGGAGATCCGCAAGTGCGTCGATAGCTACAAACTAGACCCGTAATCGGTCAGCCAACTGATAGCCGCTGCTGTTGCTGTTTGTTATTAAACTGTGAAAGCCGTTTCGTGTGACTAGAACTGGACCTAGACCTATATAGTTTTGCTAAATACATAGTTTTTCGTATGTCAAGTGTACTTAGATCAGATGGGGAGCCTAATCAGTTGGAGCAGTTGGGTGCGAGACAACGACGCGATGCCAAAGGTAGCCCCAGCGGATGGCGGGTAGTCGGAGAAGCAAGAGGAGCAGCTCTGGCGGTCACCCGGCGACAGATTTTGTGCCTAGACCAGCTCAATTAAAAGAGGAATGGCAATCGCCGCAATCTCTGATTTAACTTTTATACTTTTTCAGTGCATTTATGCCCTCAAAATTGTTGGAGTTTATAAAATAAAAGTAATAGAATTTCTTTCAGTACTTATTTGCTAAATTTACAGATACGAATTCAGAGATTGCCTAATTAATAAATATTGTTTAAATCCTTTGTTAAATTAATCAATAATAATATTTAAAAAGCCATGAGAGAAGGTTTCACATACCAATTAATCTTTGAAAGAAGTGCTATAAGTTAATACAATATAATTAAAACTCTAATTGTAATTGGTAAAAAATTCCCTCATCGGTCTCTCCTTTATTATTGATTTAATTTGAAATATGTTTATAAAAAATCTTTAAATAATATGTTTTTTAATTAAATAAAATCTTAAGCTAATAATTTTTTTAGACGCAAAGAAAACCTTATAAATATGGAACACTATTAAATGTTTACGTTTTTGATACTATGAAATTAAATAAATGTTGTTTATACGCATCACTCGAACAAATCTAAATACAAATATATATAAATAATTAAAGGTGAGTTTTAAAGAAAAACATAAGGTTGTATATATATTTATACTATATAATTAAATAAATAATGAATATGTATATTGAAAAACATGTTGTTTATTCGGATCACTCAAACAAAACTAAATAAAAATATATACAAATAATTAAAGGTGAGTTTTAAAGCAAAACATAAGATTGTATTCAAATCAAAAGCTCTGACCATTATCTCTCTGTTATGCTGAAACCTTTCCGGCAGATATGTCTGGCTGCTCGTGTCCAAGGGGCAGAACCATGGCAGAGTCAGAGTCAACAAACCAAGCAAGTACTCCTCGGATTGGTCCAGTTCGGATTTGGAATCTGATTTCCAGAGGTTATCGACGCGCAGATTCAGCCACAAGTCCTATGCTCGGTCACAGTTTTACACAGAAAATAAATTATACAAATATATTCTCTAGGTCATCAATTAAATACACGATAACTAAAGATTTGTATTTAATTTCTCTCTATTTAAATATGTTCAAGTTTTTGGGACACTGAGTCTGAAAACTTTACATAAAAAGTAACGAATTTAATGTTAAGATATTATCGAAGACTTTTCCATAAATATTGTAATGGATTTTTAATAAATAATATAATTATATTTTTATAGTCCCTCCCTCTCTCTCTTTCTCTCTCTCTCTCTCTTGATCTCTATGCCTTTCGGTATATCAATCTCTGTTCATCTCTAGAGATATAACTTTCTCTCTCGCTCTCACTCTCACTTTCTCTGTTCTCTTTACTCGGAGACTATAAATACAGCCACTGCGGTCGCACTTACCTCATTCTGTCCATGGCCTTCCCAGTGTGTACATCGATAGTGATCCCTTCGACTCCAAAATTAACACCTGACCAATGGAATGCATTTGGATAACCAGCAAGAAGCTCACCATGATATACCATAAGAAACCTAGAAGAAGGATAACAGCATGTCCCCTACTGCGGTGAGTCTTAACTGAATTACATAAATTATGCATATATTATATATCAATAACTTATTTTCTTACCTTTAAGATAATTTAACAACTGTCCCTGACTTTAGAGGCAACTTTTGCTACATTACTATTACCCCATAGGGTATTATAATTTCTGTCAGAGGTATGGAAAGTAGTGAAGGAATCGTTTCCGACCCCATTTATCATATATATTCTTGATCAGCATGAACAGCTGAGTCAATCTAGCTATGCTCGATAAAAAATAAATTTTTCAATTTTTTCAAAATTTTTTAAGGGGTTACATCGTTAAAATTGTCAAAATTTTGACGAAAATTTCAATATTTGTATTTTTAAAACTCAATATGCAGATTTGTTAACCCTTTAAAAACTAGCAGAGAAAATCCATCCGAATTAAAATAAATGCCTTTTTGGCTAAGTTATGGTACTTGAAAAACTTTGATTTAACGAAAAATTAGCATATGAAAATATCTATTTTAAATTATTCCTAGAATACACATACTTATGATTTCTTGGAGGTATACAAATGCCAAAAAGGCGATTATGGCCAAAAGTCATATATATTTGTATCAAAATTTTTATCATTATAAAATAAAACATTTAAAACACAAATTGAAAATATTTACCTGATTTTTTCAAAAATTAGTAAGAGGTAACATCATTCAAAATTGTCCAAAATTCAATAAGTAAACATCAAAAAAATGTCTGAAATCTAAGTTAAATTTGACTCATTAAATATAAAATGTATTTTATTTGAAATCAATATTATATTTTAAAGGCAATATTAAATTAATTCATTTAATTAAAATAGAAAATTGAATATTTAACAAAATTTCCTTAAGTGCATAGCTAGAAACCCCGAACATGAACCCAAATCTAAACCCAATTCCAAATCCCAACGCACTCTCCATCCATTGCCGGTGACGATTTCATCAGCCTTGTGAGTGGAGGAGTCGCTGTCAACACCCGGACGGACTGACGGACGGATGGACGGACGGACGGAATGCTGGACGATGCGGAGTCCAATCTGGATGGCTGGCCACCGTCTGGCAGCTGTGCACCCGGCGGCCCTTATCGCCACATGGAAATATCACTTGGTGGGGGCACTTTCATGTTTGCGTTTGCCTTTGCCGTTTTTGCTGCTTTGTGTTTTGTTTTGTTATAAATTTTATTTATTAATTTTTGCGCCGTGATAAGCCACAGCTGAGCGCTGGGCGAGAAGGTATAAAAGCCCCTCGTCGCCGCTGTAAAACACTTAAACGCTCGACGGCGACACAGGCGACAGATCATATCCACAAAGTGTGTGTTCTCTGAAGGGAAAAACAACAACATTGATAAACAACGCAGTCTCGTCTGGCGTCTAATAAAGTTGTTATTGAATTTAGCGATTTACAAGATCTATAAATAAAGCTGCCAAGGTGAGTGCCGGGACGTATAACATAGCATAAGTGTGTGATTATTTTTTGTTGACTGACCAGATGCTGTGTTATACGATTTAAGAGAGAGTTATTAATATGGAAGAAGCCTAAAAAAATAAAATAATAAACAATTATTTAAATACAATGTGGGTCAAGACTAATTGATTAAATATATAATGTCTTATCAAAAGAAGAAAAACCTCACACTGCTAGTAAAAGCCATCCCCAAGGCAATTGGTTTCCTCAACCCCAAAGTTCGTTGAACTAGAAAATGAGTGATAAGTTCAGATGATCCAATTAGTAAACAACTCCAGAGCTATATAGACTATAGAGTACTGAACAACATTGTTGCCGATCGGCCAGATGTCTGGTCATTGCCTAACAAAGACCCGCCCGGAATAAATAAATTTCAATTATCTATCAGCCATTCCACTGACGCAGATGTAACTAGAAAATATATAGTAATTAATATTACCTTTCCACCCGCCCCTCCTCTTTCAGCAATCAACCTTGTAATCATGGGACTGACGCGCGTGCTGGTTAAGGACGGTGGCTTCGGCACCCAAATGACCGTCCATGTGGGCAACTCCGTGGATGGGGATCCGTTGTGGAGTGCCCGTTTCAATGCCACCGATCCGGCAGCCATCATAAGCACTCACCTGGATTTCCTGCAGAGTAAGTGGAGTGCCGGTATAAGAGCAATTAGCAACAAACTAACTACATTTTCCACAACAAAAACCACACAACAGATGGAGCCGACATTATACTGACAAACACCTATCAGTCCAGTGTCGAGGGCTATATGGAGTATCTGGAACTGGATGAGGAGCAGAGCATCGAGCTGATAAGGAACACGGTCCGGCTGGCTCACATAGCCAAGGAGCGCTATCTGACGGAGTGCTACCAGGCACAGCTGGCAGTGCCGGAGGGTGAGTACAGAAAAGATCTCCTAATCGGAGTAAAAATATAAATAATAATTATTTATCAATAGGATATCCCCTCATCATCGCCTCCATTGGGCCCTATGGTGCCCACCTCCACGATGGCTCCGAGTATACCGGCAGCTATGCCGACTATGTGCCCGCCAAGGAGATCACAGACTGGCATCGCGTGAGGATCGAGGCGTGTCTGGAGGCCGGAGTGGATGCCCTGGCCATCGAAACCATACCCTGCCTCATGGAGGCCGAGGCCCTCGTGGAAATGCTCTGCGACGACTATCCCGATGTCAAGTTCTGGGTTGCCTTCCAGTGCAAGGATGAGAGCACTTTGGCGCATGGCGAAACCTTTGCAGAGGCAGCCAATGCCATTTGGGATCTGCTGGCGGAGAGGAATGCCCAGGACAAGTGCCTGGCCATCGGAGTGAACTGTGTGCACCCAAAGTTCGTGACCTCTTTGTTTAAGAGTCTCAATGGAGAGCGTAGTGTGGATGAGCAGATACCCCTAGTGGTGTATCCAAACAGCGGAGAGGTCTATGACGTGCTCAACGGTTGGCAGGGCAGGGAGCACTGTGTTCCACTCGCCAACTATGTCCCAGAGTGGGCGGAGCTGGGCGCCAAGGTCATTGGAGGATGCTGTAGAACCTATGCGAGAGATATCCGGCACATTGGCGAGGCCATTCGCAACTGGAATAAGCTGAAAAAGCTGTCTTAAGGGACGTAAGCTGACGATCTCAGTAAAACTGCAAAAGAGAACAAAATGCATTTCCAAATTAGTGTTGTAAATAAATGTAACTAGTTTTTAAGGTTTAAGACGTACTTCATAATAAAGTACAAAGAAAGTTAACGTTTTCAGTGTATTCAAGGTCTATTAAAAGTTATCATAATAACACAAAGTTTGCACTGACTTAAAATTGATTTAAAAGTTTATAGTTTAAATTTGGTTTATTAAAAATGTGGAGCATTGAAACTATTATTTTATTTTTCGTTAGGTTTTCTCATAAATTGTAACAGTTTTATTATTAAAATTGTGTTTTAATTTCAGTTAAATTAAATTACCCTGTCACTTAACTTTAACTTATTTTTTCGTAATATATACCTATTAGATGTTTCTGATTTGGTAGTTTTGTACTCCATTTAAAACAAAATTTACCGCCAATTAATGTATACCAATTTACAGTGATCGATTGGTTGCGAATCGCCATTCAATGGGAACGAATAAATTTAAACACACATTCAAAAAGCGATATTTCGATGTATCGCCCATTGATAGTATCGATAGGAACATCGGTGTTTTTTGCAGCTCTAGTGACAGCCAAAAAAAGCCGCAAGCTGTGGAAATTTTGCAAATTTGGAATAATTTTAATAATTGTATTTAACCTATTGGAATAATCAACACACACACACTAGCGCCATGTTGATCAAAGTGAAGGTGAGCGATAGCCGAGAATCTCGGCAAGAAAACAAAGACTGCAGCCTCCGGAGGCAATGCGTCACGGCGAGCAACAACAAATTAGAGTGGATTATTTCCTGGATTTTACATATTTTCCATATAATTTTCATATATTTTCCTTCTATCTTGTGTAGACCCTGACTGGCAAGGAGATTGAGATTGATATTGAGCCCACAGACAAGGTGGATCGCATCAAGGAGCGCGTGGAGGAGAAGGAGGGCATTCCGCCGCAGCAACAGCGTCTGATTTTCTCCGGCAAGCAAATGTGAGTTTTATCACTAAAATAGGTTTTTTGTCCTGATCTATAATAATTTGACAATTATCTGTGATCTCTTCAGGAACGATGACAAGACTGCGGCGGACTACAAGGTGCAGGGCGGCTCTGTCCTCCACTTGGTGCTGGCTCTGCGAGGCGGCGGCCATTCCATCCTAATAATTTAACCTAAGCGCCACTCTATCTTAGTGAATTTGGTAAACTTTTATTTTATTTTCTACTCTTGAACTCCACGCTATGTTATCATAATAAAAAGCCGCTGAACGGTGTTTGTAAGAGATGACTCCTGAAACCATGTGGCTAGTTTTATTATTTTTAAAAGCTCTTCTAGCTTCTAGAGTAATTTCCGCCAGTAATCTAGTTTTTTTATACAAAAAATCGAAATGTTCACAACTTGTCTTATAACTGGAGAAATATTTGAACTTAATTATGTTCATGCTCTGGATCGCACGATGTCCCGTTATTACCTGGACATAGAGCACCCGTTATCTCTTCCATGCTTTCCCGATTTAACTATTCCCAATATAAACTTTAAAATCTTTTCGAAAAGTGGAAAAATTCATTTATTTGTAGTTTTTGTGACAGTTTTACAAGTTGTTCAGTTCTGTTTGACAAAACGTCCGACTAGCAGGTGATTCTTTGGCGTGCACTGCTCCGGCTTCAGGCGTGTGAGGATCACCTGATAGCCCGCCTCCTCAGCCTGCAGCAAGCGGTCGGTGTCCACCACAGACATGCAGAGCATGCCCTGCAGCGTCGTCTCCGGCTTACAGTTCGTGGTGCCCATCTCATGAGCCTGATCCGCCGCATGGGCAATGTACAGATAATCCTTCGAGCCCAAAACCCGACGAAAGGACTCGCTGAGTGGGTAAGAGATGTGCGGCATGGGCTGCAGGGAGCCATAGCAGCAAGGGCAGCAGACAAAGTGGGCCTTTGCGCGACGACACTGCTGCAGGACAATGTCGGTGGCCGTGCCGCAGGCATGTAGGGAGGCACCGATGTCAAAGTAACCCACAAAGTAATCTATATTGCATTGGTAGAAGACGCAGTTGCGCAGGCCAAGCTCCAGGGCTCGCTTCTGGGCCTGGCTAAGCGAGAAGGCCTTGTTTTCCATCACAATCACGGTGCACTGAGGCAATTTGAGGGCCAGCAAGATGGCCAGGTGGCCGGTGCCGCTGCAGAAGTCGACAATACGGTCACCGGGCTGCGCCAGTGAAACCACCGCATTTGCCATATTCTCCAGCTGCTGACGCTTGCGTTCCAGCCGCTCCTTTGGCAGAGCTGAGCTCTTGGCATGAGAAGGCTCTATTAGCTCCCAGTCAATGATCTGCTGTCCATAGCTCTCATTGGAGTCCGAGTTAAATTGCAGTTGCAAAGCGGAGAGTTTTCCCAGAGCTGTCTCCACCTCCGACTGGCTGGTATATATGCGATTCCGCGGCTTGTAGCGTTTTGGATCGGCTTTGTACAGACTAGTGGCCTCACAGTCGGGAATACCAAGCTCACCAGGCGGCGTCTTTACTGTGTGAGGCACATACAGCTCCTTCAGGATCCTGGCGCAGCTATCATCAAAGGAATCAATCTAAAAGGTACAACAATTCGTTGGAATTCCTTCTGAAGAGCTAATACCATTACTCACCTCGCTAAACCAAGTGCTGGTGAGTGGAAAGTGCGGTAACATCTGGCCGCAATGCTGGAAGACGATCTTGAGCAGGGGATAAAGGATGAGATCGGCTATGGTGAAGCTAATGCCTTCGGCAAATCGATGCTCTATGAGCAGCTGCTCCTTTGGCGTTGTGCACTTGATCTCCACGCGATCACGCTTCTTCACTTTGTCGCCATTCTCCGTCTGATTGGCCTGTTCCCTTGCCTGCTTGTAGATGTTGTGCATTCGCACCGGTTCGTTCATATGCTGTTCGAATCTCACAACCTCCGGTGGCACCGACTCCAAGATCTGGCCATTGTGCAGGCCACTGACAACCTCCACCACATCCAGTTCGCAGAATCTCGTCCAAATGGAAGACTCAGAGGGAGCCAATAGGCAGCTACCCTTGAAGCCCAGGAGTTTTTTAAGTTCCTCATTGGATTGCCGGGCAATAAGCTCTCTGCCGAGTAAGTAAAATTGATTATTTTATTAAATTAAATACAAATTCATGTGGAAACCCACCTGCAAACGGCACAGGTTCCTGCTATATAGGTATTTCCATCCTTCTCGTAGATGGGCAACTTCAGGTCCCGGATCGCTGGCAGCGTAGCCGCCTCCCGGCAGGTGATATGCTGCTCCGTTAGCTCCTTCCTCAGCTGGGAGCTGCGTAAAGCTATTCGGCCGCCCTCGATTTTCGAATTAACGAAATTAACCTGCACATTTTTCGGGCTGATGTAGCGGTGTGTATATAAGGCCAGAAACGAAGAGACGCTCGTGTAGATTGTTGTAACCGCGTTCGTCGTGCTAATTTCAATCTCCAGGTAAAGCTGATCCATATTTTCATTAACAAATCATTTAACAAAAACAGGAAAAACCAAAACCAAACAACAACAAAATCGAAAGAAGGAAAATAAAGGAGAGAGCGAGGAAGTGGGAACCAGCTGGGGGTAAACAAGAAGAAGAACGATTGGCAATGGCCAATCACTACGCTGCAATTTATTATCGACTTATCGATTGTTGAAAAGCAGAGGAGAGCGCGCGTGCTTTGAATTAAAAAAAAAATTGGTTTATAAATAAAATAGTTTATTTATAAGAACCTTAAAGAAATCCATTTTAAAGTGATAAATATTCATGGGCTGGCTTTGTAATAAGCACTTCCATTATTAGAAGAGGGATATAAAATTGTTTTAGGAATTTTAGTTTAAGCAATTTAACTCCCTTAGACCATATAGTTTAATTTATTTATTTTTATGGGACTATAATTAAGTACGGGCTAAAAAGTATGCATCATTTGGGGAGCCGGTCATTCCCTTTCAGAGACAACGATTTCTCGTACTCCTCCTTCGCCTTTGGCCAGTCTTCTTTAGCCTTCATTTTTTTCTGTTGCCATTTTTATTCTTGTTTGCAGCAATGCTGCCCCCCCCCCACACTTCTTTTTTTCCTTGTCCCCACGGCTGGCTGATGGCTAAAAATAAAGAAGTTCTCTTGTTGCCGCCGCTTTTTTTCTTGGCTCAGCAGAAAGGGCAACATAATGCTCGTTATACTCTTTCCTGCATAATGCGGCATACATGTTTTTGCATACAGTTTGAAAATACGATATTTATTAATTTAATTTATTTTATATACTTATTTTAGTTTCCACAGTAACATCAATCTTTAGAAATTGATTACAAGAGGAGGCTTGAAATTAAAAGTAAGGGTATTTCTAGCCTCAGTGTAAATAAGTTAATTTTTCCCCGTCGTTGAGGGCTCTTGGAATGGGAATGGGAATGGGAACGATGAGCCCAAGGAATGGGGAATGGTCATGGCAAGAATGGGAATAGGGAGCAGAAAAGGGGGAACGGAAACCACAATGCTGGCCGATGTTTATGGTATTTACCTGCTGCACTTTGCTGGGTGCCTGCTGCAATTTCTAATCGAAACGAAACCTTCTACCCTAATAATGGCCTCGGGGCCCTTGGCGCCCTTTGTTAGCTGAAAAATCGGAGTCTCTCGCGCCGTCGAAGATAATCGCTGTTTTGGAGGGAGAACGCAACACTGCTCCAATGCTCCTCTGACTCCACTGGCTCCAACTCCCTGCCACATGCAACATGCTGCAGTATGTGTCGTCGTATTTCGCGGCATGTTCGCCTGATCGAAATTGTTCCGTTAAAATCTGTGCAGAGGCCGCAAAATGTTGCACAAACATACACGGGGAGAGCAACATAAAAGGGCCAAAAGGCACAAGCAGTCGTCCCGCTCCCACTCACACTCTGTCTGCTGGGCCCTTTTGCCCTTCGCTCCCGGATGCAACGCAACACTGTATGTGTTGCCCTCTCGCTCTGGCTTAGAATTCTCGTTGGCTTGGAATGACATGGCATGGCAATGGAAGGGGTGGTTGGCTGCTTTTGCTGCTGCTTCTGGAACGGCTGCCTGGAAATGCTGCTCGCCTGATCCCGGACACCATCGAAATTTCACATGTAATTCCCACGGCCTGAATTTTCCCACACAACCAGCCGCGAAGAAGAAGAAGAGGAAGAGGCTGCAGAGAATTTCAGGCAAGAGACAGCCGGAGAATCGTTCACACACACACATCGTCGTTATTTTTTTTTATTTCTTCTTATTTTTATATTGTTGCATCGAATCCGCTCCCAGGGTCGAAGCACTGGAAATAAGAAATCCTTCCATTCCTGGGAATATTGTGAGTGTCCCTTTTTTAGAAACAAAATAATGGATTTGGAATTTATGAAGGATTTAGAATGAGTACAAAATTTTTAAAAATAACACAATCTCAAAATAAAAATTGGATTCAATTTTATAGGGGTAAAAATATGCATTCAAAGTTAAATTAAATCATTAAAATATATATAAACCTTAAACCTTAAACCTTAAATTTGGTTTATTAAAAAGAAAATGACTACAATTGTATCTATTTTTTTCAGTGCTTCGTTCTTCCGTTTCTCCATCTCTTATGGTCGTTTTGTTTATGCTGCTGCTGCTGATGCTGCCCCATCCCGTCCGCCGGCTCCCATGCTTGCGCCACAGCTCCAGACTGGTCCTGGTCATGGTCCCTGTCTAACCCTCTCGGGTTAACATCTTCTTCATCTGCCTCGCTGGATGTCGTGTCCGTCGGTCCCGGCATCGAATTCCTTTTGGTGTCCAGGTCTGGCTTCTTTAACCTCTACTTAGTAAGGCTTCCTCTGCATCTCTCTGACGGTGGCTTCGCTTTATTTAAAAACTAGGAAAAAAAAGAGGTACTTAGTTGGTTAAAAAATAATCTTTTTTCCTAAAGAAGTTGCTTAAGAGCCCGTACCTTATGATGAATTAAGGGATCTTGCGAAAAGCGGCGACATTAAGCGGTACAAGATGTTACCAATGACCGAAATCATAGTTGTGGTCATATCCAGACTATAATGCAAGGGAACCAATAGATACTCAAATCCCTGTAGAGGATTTGTTCTCAGCGAGTTGATCTTTGGTACCGGAACGATTGGCATGGTAGGAAGAGCGTAGGATCCGAAAAACTACAAGAATATTTATAAATTTGGAAATTGTATTAGGACCTGTTTAAATTTGGCTGCGTTATGACGATATCAGGGCTAACTCTGTTATTTTATTTAGATAGGTCTAGCATAGGGCTGTTTCTTAACAGTAAAATGAGATTGATAATTCGATTTAAAAAATATAGTTATCATAACTTAAAAAATATATATATTATAATCCCGTAAAATCCCGTTTCCCACTGTGCACCACCAAAAGCGGCCTTGGGGAGCTCCAAGGAATGTCTAAGCGATTGCTCCAGACAACTGGAGCCACTTCCTTTGCATGGTGCTCCTCTCCTGCCCCTCTCCCGTGGCCTTGGGGGAGACAAGGCCTCTTCTAATGGTCGGTGTCGGTCGTCGGATGCTCCACGAATGTCGTGCTTCAACTTTTCCCTACCCGTCTCCGCATCCAAACCGACTTCAAGTTAAGTTCCCGTCCCGGTCCCGTCCGATAATGTGGCATTGACTTCTTGGCAGCCCAGCTATTCCAGTTATGTGTGCCACACTTCTTCGGATATGCAGACCATATGCTCCTGCTCCGGCTACTGCTGCACTCCTGGTCCATCAATATGTTCAAGGATTTTTTCACGCTTCCAGGCATTGCAGATATGACGTATGTAATGAGAGCGATTGAAATTGGAGTCAGTTTCAAGAGTTTCCAACAAAAGACATCCAGAAAGCATTCCGATTTGTTCCGGGACCTTTATAAGGGACAGAACCTTTCGGGTCGTGCAAGACGGTTAATCATAAAGTTTAGATAAACCATGAATTCCATAAATCCCCAGTACGCAAGAGTTTCAACTCTTTCCGCCACTCAATTCAAATCGTAATTTCCCCCAACCAACACTCAAAAGTTCCCCGACACACAAAAGCGACTCCATTGGCGAGCAGAGCTTTAATCACAAACAAACAGCTAAAGCCACTCGGCAAACAAACAATCGCCCGCATACACACACACACATACTGTCTACCATGAGAATTCACACTCATACGGCTATGGCACTGTATTTTGTTGGGAATTTGGAACTAAATAAATTAAATATTATTTTGTTAAATAAAATATTATTTTAATTGGAATATAAAAAATTAACTTATGCAGTGTATTATGTTATTAATTAATCTTACATTTTAAATACAGTGTCATAGCTGCTCAAAATTCGCAGGTTCCGCTGTCGAGTGAGTGCGTGGAGCGAACTCAACTCAACCTGCTGGCATTCCTCGCCGCCTGTTCGTTAGAGTCCATGAATCGAAATTGTGTCGCTCAAGTGACTATTCTCCAAAAATTTCGAATTCGGTTTCGCAATGCATCATTATGATCGAAAATTAGTGGGTTTCCGATTTCGTTAACTCAAAGCTGCCAGAGTAGCTGGAAGGGGTGAGGAAAAATACAAGAAATATTTATTATTTATTATTCATTACAAAAGCTAAATATTGTTTTGTATTAATTATTAATTTTATTCATTCAGAGACATTTGTGCATCCAAAGAAATACCCACTCAGAAACACTCCTCAGTTCACCGCGAAGAATGAGAATGAATGAAACGAGTAAAAACGGTGTTTTGCCACTCATGCTTAAAAAATACCATGGGATGTGCGGTGTGCCGAGTCCGGTTCCTGGCCCTTTTCCATCTCAGGGCTGCGCTGGCGCTTCCATTTCGAAAAAGCGAGCAAAATAGAGCAGTGAGCAGCAGCATCATTTAGATTTAGACCGGAATTGTAACAGGCACGCAGGTCCAGCAGCGAGCATACCAAGCAGTTTCGTTCGTTTCGTTGTGCCGTTCTCACGCACTAGCTGTGCTGCTCTGAGGGACGCCAGTTGTCCCGCTCGCACGTGGGGAGCTTTCCAGAGGTAAGCTTTGGGACCGGGCGGCAGGTTTGAATGTTAACGTTCTTGTTACAACCAGTTACATTATTCAATCGGTTAGAAGCACTTTCAAACATTTTAGTCGCAACATTAAAAAGAAAAACTACAATTTATAGTGCAAAAACCTTGTTTTTACCCTTTTTCCTCTATATTAAGCCTGCATTGTTCAAGTGTTGTTATCGATTATTCACCCGCCTATCAATGCATCGATTGCTCTGCTCGCTGCAAAACAACCCTGTTTTTGGATCAGCTGGCTTTGTGCTGCTGCTAAATTTTAAGCAGAATTCAGAATTTCAGACGGCTCGGTTTCAAGGAATTTACGGTGTCTTTGATCAGCCCCGGACACAAGGAGCAGCCTGGAAGGACACCCAAGTACCCAAGGCATACATATATAGCCAAGCTAGCGCCGCCGTGGGTAAAATGCTGCCGAGTCCGCTGGCGTTGCGAAATTGTGCAGTGGCGACGGTGACAAAAACAACAAAGAAGCGACGCGCCTCAACTAGAGGAGGAGAGGCTAACGGTAAACGCGAAATAATCAATTAAAAGGTAACGGGAGTCACGGTTTCCGACCGAGAATCCCAGCAGCAGAAGATTCCTGCGGCATCCAGAGGGCCATCGAGGACGAAACCAAAAGTTGCCTTAACAGCTGCACCACCTGTGCGTGGGCAGGCAGGCAGAGGCGGCAGCGGTCGCGACAGCGCAGCTTTTGGCAGCAGCAGACGAAACCCAGACAACAACAACAACAACGAGTGAAACAGAAACAACAAGAACAACAAAGCAACGATGGAAATGCGAGAGGTACTGAGTCGCGAGGGGCGAGAGGCCAAGAATCTGCTCGTCTACCAGTTCTGCGATGAGACAACAACGAGCACGAGCGGCGGCGAGGGGGCAGCATCAGCGGCGGGACCAGCCGGAACTCTAGCTGGAGCTGGAAGCGGAGGCGTACTCTTGAACGGTGACTGTAAGTAACGATATTGGGTACTTGAGGAGTTATTATGGCTACCAAGTGTGTTTTTTTTGTAACAATTTCAATACCTTAAACCCTATTTTTTTGGCTAATAAGCTTTAAACAAAGTTTCTAAAGACTGTAATTAATTGCTACTTTGTACAGACCATAGAACCATAACATTTTGATTGGAATAGGACTAAACTGAATAGTACTAAATATAAATGACACAAAATGCAAATATAGTAGTCGGTATCGATATTTTAACATTGCAGTCCGTTTATATGACAATATCGCTTATAAAACCTTTTTAAAACTGTATTTAATAATTAATCCGACTTTAAAATTAAAAAAATATTTTTTAGAAACCCATAAAGTTGACCATAAAATCATAAACTAATAACAAATCAAGCCCTAGGCAACCCAAAATCGGTTATTTCAACTATATGTCCCATGATTCCTTATAACTTACATGACTTTATACCCCACAGGTTATCGCAAACCCCCTATGGCGCCGCCAAAGTCGCCAAGTGGTGGCAGCGGCACTCCCAAAAACTGCCAGTCGCCCACCACTTCGCCACGACTAAAATCCACAACGAGCGCCGCAGCAGGCGGAGGCAGTGGGCCACGTGTACGCAGCGCCTCCACAGGCAGGGACAAGAAGTCTGAACTGCAGGCCAGATACTGGGCCCTGCTCTTTGGCAATCTGCAGCGAGCTGTGAACGAGATCTACCAGACAGTAGAGTGCTACGAAAACATATCCAGCTGCCAGGAGGCCATACTCGTGCTGGAGAACTATGTGCGGGACTTTAAGGCGCTGAGCGAATGGTTCAAAGTATCCTGGGACTATGAATCCCGTCCGCTGCAACAAAGACCACAGAGTCTGGCTTGGGAGGTGCGCAAGAGCAATCCCACGCCCCGAGTGCGTACCAAGAGCCTCTGCAGTCCTAATAATTCCGGGAAATCCAGTCCAGCCTTGGTGCTTGGTGGCTCTCAATCGGGCAAGACCTCTCCATCCACCTACGAAACGGGCCAGATCTCGCCCATGAAGTTACTCCGTGCCTACGATCAAGTGCCGAAGGGAGCGATGCGTCTCAATGTTCGAGAATTGTTTGCGGCCAGCAAAAGAGCTAACCAAGGATCCTCGCAATCGGATAATATGGAGTGCCCGCTGGATCTCAGCGGGGATAAGTCCACGTATTTGCAGCTAAACACACAGTATTCGCAAACAGATCTGGAGGATCCACACCTGACGCTGGCGGATGTGCGGGAGAAGATGCGGAGGGAGGCGGAAGAACGGGAGGCGAGGATCCAGGAGCAGGCATTAAGCATTCCAGCACCAGAAAATACAGAAGAAATCCCAGACAAACCCAGTGAGACCTCAGAGGAAATTCCACCAGAAGGCGAGCCTTGCTTACTAGAAGAACATCGCCCTGAGCCCACAGCTGTAGATATGACTGTGGCCTCTCTGGAGAGCATGGAGAATGCTTTGCTCCACCAACAGGCCCAAAAGGACCCCACGCCCCCGAGCACACTGCTGAAGCCCCCGACAGAGAAGCCGCAACCCCTGATGGCCATCTCAGGAAATGCGCCTATTCAAAATAGTCCCTTGAAGTACTCCAGCGTGCTAAATCGTCCAGTGAAGAAAGCGGTAGCAAGCGCAGCAGGAGGAGGAACTGGTGCCCCCAAGACAACAACGGGAACAGGATCAGCAGCAACAGCAACAGTGGCAGGCAAGCCAGGTCAGCTGAAGACAGCTGCTCCCGTAAACGGTTTACGACGCTCCACAAAGCTAGCACCGACTGCTGGCAAGACTTCAGGAAAAACTGGCATACAGGCACCTCCTCCCAGGCCCTCCAGCAAAACCGAGTGCTATGGCCCGCCCAACAATGTGGCCTCCCGTCTGTCGGCACGCTCCCGAACCATGCTGGAGATGAATGGCAATGGCGCCAGCAAAACCCTGCCCAAGAGAACCTCTACCTCTTCGTTTCTAAGCACGCCCCGGATAAGAACAACGGCCTCGTCGAGGCTCAGTTCGCGCGAAGACATGGGCAGTTCCACTTCCACTCTCAAAGCCAGCAACGAGCAGTTATCGAACTCAAGGAGCACTTTGAAGACCGAGGAACCACAACATTCCGAGACGAAAAAGCAACTTCAACTGCCCACAGATGCCAACGATGGTTGGTTGACGGTGAAGAATCGTCGAAGGAGCAGCATGCATTGGGCCAACAGGTTCAATCAGCCGACAGGATACGCCAGTTTGCCAACGTTAGCGCTGCTCAACGAGCAGCAGAGGGAGAAGGAGAAGGAGCAGGAGCTAACCAAGGAGAAGCACAACGTAGATTCAAGCGCCAGCAAAATCATTCCAAGTAAAACAGGAACAGCTACAGGAGAGGCTAAGCCGAAAGCCAAGGCCACTACACTGGCAAATTCTTCACGGCCAGAAATCAAAAATGCCAAGGCCAAGGTCAACTCATTTCCCGCCCAGAGAAGCTCAGCGGGTCAGATGAAAAAGACAGAGAAGCAGGACAAGCCAGAGAAGGCAGATAAGACCGAAAAGAAGTCAGTGACGCCATCAACAACAGCTCGAAACAATGGCAATAATAGTTCCATAGGGCGCACGTCCATCATCAAAAGACAGAAATCGGATCTAACAGGACTGAAGATGACATCCTTGCATAAGGAGTACATGCGTAGCGAGAAGAATGCGTTAAGGAAGCTGCAGCAAAAAGAACTGAGCAATAACCACAAGCAGAGCAACAACAGCAGCTCCTCTTCCGCAGAAACTGTCGTGGAGTGTGAGTATCTAGAAATATTCCATTATTTTCCCTTTAGTTAACCATTTTATCCCACTCACAGCCAGCAACGAGGACCACAACAAGATCGACATCAAGATCCAGACCAACTGTGAGTTCTCCAAGACCATTGGTGAGCTCTACGAGAGCATTGCCCGCTGCAAGCTACCAAATGGCAGTCTCAACAAGCCAAATGCCACCTCCCTTCTGAGTGCCTGCGATGAGAATGAAGAGCAAATTGCCGACGATAACGAAGAAGAGCGCAACGAAAGGATTCTTGTTGAGGTTCAGGAATCCCTGGAACGGCAGATTCGTGAGCTAGAGCAAACGGAAATCGATGTGGACACGGAAACGGATGAAACCGATTGTGAAGTTCAGCTGGAGGAGCAAGAGCTGGGCGCAGGTGGTGATGATTCCGCGGTATTTGTGACCATGAGCGACGATGAGAACGCCAGCCTTGAGCTGAGATATCAGGCTTTGTTATCGGACATGTCGTGGAACGAAAGAGCAGAGGCTTTGGCCACGCTACAAGCCTATGTGGCCAGGCATCCAGGGAGAGCGCAGGAACTGCATCAGAAACTATCCTCGCCATCGCGACGTCGCTCTCTGCAGGAAACTCTGAAGAAATACCAAGCCAAACAGGCGAGGGCTCAGCAAAAACGGAATCTCCTTCAACAAGAAAAAGCAGCCAAGCTGCAACAACTATTTGCACGCGTGGAGGACGTCAAGGCAGCCAAAAAGCAACTCATCGAAGATAAGCGCCAAAAGATGCAGGGACGACTCCAAAGGGCAGCGGAGAATCGGGAGCAGTACCTTCGGCAGATCATCGAAAAGGCCCACGATGAGGAGAAGAAACTGAAGGAAATCAACTTTATCAAGAACATTGAAGCACAGAATAAGCGTTTGGATCTTTTGGAATCCTCCAAAGAGACCGAGGGCAGACTGCAGGATCTCGAACAAGAGCGACAGAAGAGAGTGGAAGAAAAACTGGCCAAAGAGGCTGCTGTGGAGAGACGTCGGCAAGCCCTCGAAAAGGAACGCCTGTTAAAGCTCGAGAAAATGAATGAAACGAGGCTGGAGAAGGAGCAAAGAATAGGCAAGATGCAGGAGCAGAAGGAGAAGCAACGTCAGGCTTTGGCCCGGGAAAAGGCCAGGGATCGGGAGGAGCGACTCCTCGCCCTGCAGGTCCAACAGCAGCAGACCACCGAGGAACTGCAGCGCAAGATTCTACAGAAGCAAATGGAATCCGCTCGTCGGCACGAAGAGAACATCGAACATATACGCCAGCGAGCTTTGGAGCTGACCATGCCCACCCGGCAAGCGGACGAGGGTCGGGGCGATCAGGATGACGGCGATGCGGAAGATGGCTTGAACGGGAATGGCACAAGCACCACGAACGAAGACTGCGATATTTCCTCTACGCTCTCGGATGTGGGCGGAATCCCTGGTCATTCGAGAAGCTACAAAAAGAAGATGAAGAAGCTCAAGCAGCGAATGAGTCAGTGGTGAGTAAACTTTACCTTTATTAATGCCGCAAATTAAATGAATTATTGTTTTATATTTAATTGATTTCTTTGTTAATTCGCAAGTATTGAATTTCCGCTGAAAATCGTTAAAAACTTTATTGTCTGCTTTCTTTTTTTTGTATGAATAAGTTTTTATTTTCCAAAGAAATCAGAGATTTAACATATCATAATAGGGTCTTCCTTGAAATGTAATCCTATTTTTTATTGCGTCTAGACGGCTTTAACTAAATCTATATAACTAAATAATTTATTCGGTCGTAAAAACGGTAACGATTTCAAATACCAATATCCGAAAAATGTTATTTCCTTTTTCGATTATTTTGATCTGTTCTATCAAAATAGAATATGGATTTATCCCATACATCTCAAGGATTCTTTAAATATAAATATGTTCTGCCATTCATAATAATAATTCTTTTGAAATATTTTCCAGCGCCACCGAGTATTTGGAGGCCATGGAGCCCCTACCCCCTATGTAAAGCGTGATAGTACGGTGCCCAAGCTCCTGAATCTGGTGGTTAAGGGTGGCGGTGCTCAGGGATTGGAAAGGGCATTGGGCAACCTCCTGCGTGTGATACCCAAGGCCCAGGCCTTTGACTTCCAGGCCTTCCTGTGCATGGATGGCCTGGGCATAGTGGCCAATCATGTGATCAGCAAGGGTCTGCAGGAGAACACCGATGTCTCAAGGAAGTAGGTTTAATAATAATTTTAAATTTATTGAAATTAACTCATGTAATTAAATAATTTACAGATCTGTTCACCTGGCCGTTCATGTGTATAGGAATGCCTGCTCGGTGTGTCCTCAGATTGCTCGTCACGCTCTGTTGGGTAATTCCATAACCGTTATGTTCGATGCCATCAGTAAGAGTTTTCAGGTAAGTTTTCAACAACAAAAAATCCTCGGCAAGTTTTGAAGAACTTTTTCGGCCAGCCAAAAACGGCTTTCACAATAAAAGTGTCGCCAGGCAGACGTCGGGGGTTTGGAATTGAAGTCGCTGAAGTTGGCAACTGGCTATATTCCCCTGGCCACGTCGGATGTGTCGCCTATACAGTATAAATTTGTACTTGGCTCGCCTTATAGTTCTGCCCTGGCAGCCACTTAACACTTGGCCGCGTTTATATCCTCTGTCTGTCTGTAACCCTAAGGAATAAACAGCCATAGAGGGTTATAAAGAATTTTTAAAGGCCTGGCGAAGGGGGATTCTTGTGGCCTCGAGATAGTATTGGTTTAATATTGTTAACTCGTTGGTTGAATAATATATTAAAGGTTTTTTATAGAAATAAACTGCCTTCTCAATCTCAAACAGATTAAGAATTATCATTATCCTTGAGCTTTAAAAATAACTAGGAATAGCAGAAAATCGATTTTTAAAAATTTAAATTTAATATCTTTCAATATTACAACATTAAATTAAACTATAAATCACTAATAAATATATAGGTAGTATCTAAAACAACTCTAGTAAGAGCATTTTTAGGTCGGTTTCCCCTTCCGAAGTTTTAGTCCCTGTGTTTAAAGTTTATGTTTCGCGCTCCGACTTTTGTTTCTGCTCGTTGGGGCATTGTTTATTTGCCATTTCTTTGACGCTTTTATTTGGCGCTGCTGCCTTTTGTTTGTTTGGCATTTTTATTTGAATTTTATTTACTGGCCTCGTGCGCTCTCGCCTATCAATTTTTAAGCACTAGGTCGGGGCCCAAGACCCATCCCCATTATTATTTTTTTTGTCGGGCGCTTTTCCCTTTCCTGGGCAATTCAGTCAGCGAGTAAAATGTTTATATATTTTGCGGCTGTTGTTAAATCAATCGTTAAATCGTATAAAAAGCCACTCACTCACACACCCAATAAATGTTTCTTCTTAGCGTTCATCTCTTTTTTATTTTTTATTTATGCTGTATGTATTTTGTTCTTTCATTAAACTCGTGGAGTGTTAAGGGGTTTGTGGTGATGGAAATAAGATGAATTCTAAATATTAAGTATTTTTGTTTGTAGTTTGTAAACCCATGCAGAATGAAATTCGATAACTAGAATTATAAATATATAAATTTATGTTAAAAAACAATAATGTATACCCGCTTTCATTTCGTTCACCTATACATTATATATTTTCTATTTTACATTCACAGTTTTTCATTTTCCTCTATATCTAACGATCGTTTGTATGGCAGCTATATGATATAGTAGCCTTATTTTCATAACATTTTCCACAAAATTTTAGATAAATATATAATGGCTATATATCAAATTTGATGAAAATCTGTTAAAAACTGGAAAAGTTATAATTTGTTTTTCAAACAATTTTCCGATCGTTCCTATGGCAGCTATATATATGTATATATAGTCCACCGATTCGCCATGCTCCGACTTATATACTAGTAAAATAATATAGAAGAATAACTCCATAGTTTCATTAAAATAGCTTAAATTTGTTCCAAAACAAGTCTTGCACATCTGTGCATATGATTCTCAACTGGTTCTAACATCCCCGGAACGAAGTGACTTCTGCCGGCCAAGTCTCAGATATGTGTTGTGTTACAAAAGTTGCAAGTCATTGTTGATTAGTGTTCAAAGTTAGTAACTGATCATACATGCTTACTGCTCATGGACACTTAGTAGTCATAGATACTTGCTGATCATATTTACTTACTTTTCAGAATTACTTACTACTCATAAATACTTATGGATCATACTTACTTACTGCTCATAGATACTCACTGTTCAGAGTTACTTAGTGGTCATAGATACTCACTGTTCAGAGTTACTTACTGCTCATAGTTAATCACTGATTATACATAGATCTATAAATCGTCCGATTGTTCCTATGGACACTATATATATGTATATATATAGTCTACCGATCCGCCATGCTCCGATTTATGTACTAGTAAAATTATATAGAAGAATAACTGCATACTTTCATATAAATAGCTTGCTCTTAAATTGGTTCCAAAACAAATCTCTCTGTGGATATGATTCTCAACTGGTTCTAACATCCCCGGAACGAAGTGACTTCTGCCGGCCAAGTCTCAGAAAAGTGTTGTGTTACAAAAGTTGCAAGTCATTGTTTATTAGTGTTCAAAGTTAGTAACTGATCATACATGCTTACTGCTCATAGTTACTTAGTAGTCATAGATACTTACTGACCTTAGTTACTTATTGTTCAGAATTACTTACTGCTCATAGATACTTAGTGATCATACTTACTTACTGGTCATAGATACTCACTGTTCAGAGTTACTTACTGGTCATAGATACTCACTGTTCAGAGTTACTTACTGCTCATAGTTAATCACTGATTATAGATCTATAAATAGTCCGATTGTTCCTATGGACACTATATATATGTATATATATAGTCCACCGATTCGCCGTGCTCCGATTTATATACTAGTAAAATTATATAGAAGAATAACTGCATAGTTTCTTATAAATAGCTTGCTCTTAAATTTGTTCCAAAACAAACCTCTCTGTGCATATGATTCTCAACTGGTTCTAGCATCCCCGGAACGAAGTGACTTCTGCCGGTCAAGTCTCAGGAAAGTGTTGTGTTACAAAAGTTGCAAGTCATTGTTGATTAGTGCTCAAAGTTAGTAACTGATTATACATGCTTACTGCACATAGGTACTTAGTAATCATAGATACTTACTGATCATAGTTACTTACTGTTCGAAGTTAATTAATGTTGATAGATACTTCCTGGTCATAAATATTTACTGATCGTAGTTACCTAATGATCACATTTTCTTGCTGTTCATAGTTCATGCTGTTCACTTCTTTGCAAACTTTCGATTCAGTTTTTGATGCTGATCAAAAATATATACGATTAATAGGGTTGGAAATGACTCCTTCACAGCGTTACAAGCTTCTGACAGAAATTATAATACCCAAGGGTATACAAAGAATTAAACTGAATTAAGAAGAGGTATCAATACATTTACATATCATTTATATTCTAAATTTGGTGTATTTATTTAAGAAGTATCTAAAATGCTAATATCTCAAAGGTTTTTTTAAAGTTATTTATATAAAAAAAGAGATATCAAAAAGGCGCATTTATCGGGGAAACAAAATTTTTCATGTAATTCTTATTTGCTTTTTTGTTTTATTTAAATCTATAAAGATATTTTTACTGCGCATCGCACTTTGGCGTTGTTGTTGTTCTTTTGCATTGTTAACTTGGCTCGTGTTTATTGTTTTTGCCCCATCCCCGCCTCCTTTTCACCTCTCCTACCTATCCTCTCGCCCTCCTTTCACCTTCTTCTCCCGCTGTCCCGTTGATGGATCAGCGCGCGCGCCGCTTGTCGTGTAATAAAGGAGAGGCAAAGCGCTGAAGAAGAAACGAAGAAGGCGCAACAGAGTGAAAAAGTTAACTGTAAGCGACTAGGAGAGAGAGTGAGTAAAAACGGGAGAGAAGGGGAGAAAGAAACATCAATTAACATTTTGATTGATGTGGATGTCTCTCTCTTTCTGTCTGTTGTTGCTGTTTAAATGCCTAAGTTGATAATTAATTTAAACACGAGCCACGGAATTTCACTTGCGGGCGGGCGGGCAACAGCCCCAAAAAGCACGCAACAATTGTGTGCGCGAGTGAGCACCATTTTTTTTTAAATATTCCTTCGATTTCTGCTTCCTGTCTTACTCTTCTACTTCTCTTTTTCCGATCTGTTGCAGTTACCCGAAGAAAAATCACCACAACATCCGGTCGAGTTGTCCACGGAGCTAATGCTGGCCTGCACCGAGGCGCTGTCCTCCAGTTACGTGAAGAAGAACACCCACCCAAAAGTGCCGGAACGACTGCCGGACATGATAAAGTGAGTACAACAACCATAACAAATATAACAACAACAAGTGCTTAACTGTTGTGCGCAAAGCAACAAAAGCAAGCGCATAGAGAGGGGAACGAGTCGAGTTCGAAAAGCGAGTTCGAAAAACTCCAGTGTTTGTGGTGTGCGTGAGTGTGCTTGTGGGTGGGAAAGGGATGCCTAGAGTTTGGCCTGGCCGTATGGCCATCCTTTTCGCTCGCTTTTGGAAGCGAGAGAGGGCGTGTCTGTGTGAGTGGGATAGCGTAGGCTGGCAGCAGCGCTGCTTGCTTCGAGTTGGCCTCTGCTGCTGCGACTTTGCCTGGCGCTTTTCTGTTTTAAAAAATATAATTTTTAATTTTAATTCGTATTTAGTTGGTCACACTGATGCCGGGCAGTGTGGTCACAAGTCGCAGGTTTTATTGCGATATTGGTGTTAAAATTGGGGGATATTTCCTATATTTTCAATACTTTAAATTATTTATATTTTTTTTTGAAGTGAAATTAAATTAGGTTTTACGATTGTAATTTAATTCATATGAATTTTTAAGGTTTTTAAACTTGTTTACCGGTTCAGAAACATTTTCATTCTTTAAAATCGCTTTAAAAATTTCCTAAGAATTATATAAGTCTTACTAAAAATATACTTAATTACTTGAAGCCATTTTTAGTTTTTAAGCTTGCATTATTTTTACTGTAAATACAGTTCAACCTCTTTTAATATTTATTACTGGCTGGTATTATCCCTTTCTTCTTTTAGATTTGCTTTAAAAATTCAGCTGAAACATTTTTCATGACCTCCCTTCTTCCTTTATTGGCTTTCTGTGTGCTTTAATTTCGAAAATAGAAAAAACTTTAATGCTGCGTCGTCGTCCAGTGTGGAGTTTTCCCGGCTTTCCCCCTTTTCTGCCCCCTTTTCCAGCGATTGTTTTTCTTTAATTTGAGCTCATTTTTGTGCACAAAAGTTTTAATCGAATTGTTGTTTATTGTTGACGTTTCTATAGTTCCCAAATATGCACATATATATAGACGCCATTTTGTTTGTTTTATATTTTTGCACAGCAACAAATAGGGGATTTTGTTTCAAATTTGCATTAATTTATAAAATAAAGGAAAATAGTATTTTATGTATAATGGTTTAATAGATTTGATTACGGTTTATCAGTTTTGTGTTTAATTAAGGAAAACAATGGGACAAATCGTTTAATTTATATATTTGAAAATTATGCAACTTATAGTTAAGTTGGTTATTTAAATGCAATTTGTTTATGTTAATTAATAGGATTTATAAATGGTTTATTTTATTAATAATTTATCTTAAAATATATAAATAGTTCTTCAATTACATTGCAGGTTCTGAGAATTTCAGATCCCTAAGCAAAGTTAGCTTTATCTGTGTGTGTTTTTTGTACTTTCCTTCCTTTTGTTAAAAAAGCGACGACAAAAAAACATTTGTTGTTATGCATTTTCCACTTGTGAATTGGCTTTTGTTTGCTACTTTTTGCATTTGTTTTTATTTCCGTTTTTTTTTTATATTGTTGGCTAGCTTTTCTTCTGTGTGTGAAGCGGCTTTTGTTTATCATTTTTATACCCTTGCAGGATATTTTTATTTTAGTCAGAACGTAACGAAATGAAGGAGTCATTTCCGACCCTATAAATCATATATATTCTTGATAGCAGAATCGATTTAATTTAAAAAAATTTAAGTTAACTTTTGCAACAATTTTGAAAATTTTATCGTTAAAATTGTTAAAATATGATAAAAATTTAATTTTTTAAAATTTGAAATTGAGTATGCAGATTTTCCATCGCATTAAAAACTAACATAGGAATGATTTCCGAATTAAAAGTTATGGTTTTTTGACTTAGTTATCAGTTTTTAAATCTTTGACTTGTTGGAAAAATGGTTGTATAAAAATATCAATTTTTTATTTGTTAAGCTTAATTTATAACTAGATTTCCGATTCGATCCTGTACATTAATTACACAAGGCAAGGGTATATAAACTTCGGCTTCCATAAAATAGCCTTTTTGTTTTATTTGTCCTGGGCTCTGACCAATTTTTGTGCCTTTTCCATAGATGGGTTTTTTGTAGATATATTTTTTGTATACATTTTTTCTCTATCTTTTTTATTATTTCATTTTGTTTGCTGTTATTTCTGTGTGTTGTGTGCTCCTTTTTTATGTTCTTTATCAATTTTCCGTTTGTTTATATTTTCAATTTGCTTACAAAAGCTTTTCGTTTATTTTATTAGCCAGCAGCCATTGTTGTGGGTCTGTGTGTTCTTTGCAGCCTTTTGTGGTTGCTGCCTTGGTCCTTTTATTCGTCCTTCTCCACGGCTTATTCGCCTTTAATGCCAACTGCCATTTTCGTAGCGCGCTTTTCGGCGCTCAATTCAATTACACAGCGCCTGCAACTGTGTGGGTGCGCTGTGTAGGTGTGCTGTGCTGCCTGCCTGTGTGTGTGTGTGTGAGAGTTTTGCAAAATCAAATTTTCTTTTGACTATAATTTTTGTGGAAAACAACCCCCACAGCACCTTGCGCCATTTTCCTTGACGAAAAAAGAAAACTTTGCCTGAAGGAGAAATTCAATTCGCCGCACTTGAATGGTCCGCCATCTTCCACTGCCTCCTGCTCTTCCGCTGTTGCTGGCGCTTGGTTCGGCCCCTCTTCCGGTTCCGGTTCTGCTCTGTTCCGTTCTGCATTTTCATTATCATCATCATCAGTCTGGCCACGAAACATTTGGAATTTTTTGCCTAATTCAATTGCAACAGTCTTGGTCCTCTCTCTCCCTTTTAGCTGCATAATTAAATTTTTGTTTACTTTTAATTGTTGCTCAGGTTGCGCTCAGTGCTTTTTCAGCTCAAAGCTGGCATATATTTTTTTTGTTTTGTTAATTTAAATAAAGTTTTCGAGAAGTTCGTGTAATCGAATTAAAAGTTGATAAAGACAAAGGAGAGGAAATTCTATTTTTAGTCAAAAGGAATCTTCTTGTCCTTTGAAAGAGGAAAATAGGAACTGTGGTAGCTTTTTTTACGGGAAATTGTGAAAATATTGATTAATTTGTTGTTAAAGAAAGGCTTTGATTTTTTTTCCTTAAGGGTTTATTTTGTATATCTTAATCCGTAAAAATCACTAGGATTTCCTGTTATATATAAATTAAAGTGATTCTAGTTCATTAAACTATATACTTTGCTTTCCATTCCATTTAAAAATGCAAATAATCGAAATCGAAACTGGGAAACAACATAAAAAGCCCCTTATTAGGGCACATACTTGACCATTAATCATAACACCTCTTTCAATCGATTGCAAAGAATCCTTCTCCTGCTTCCAACTAGAAATGTATACATATATCCCCGGTTAGCCTTCGTGGCTAACCTTAATCCCAACCATAAATCGTACTTGTCTTCCGCTCCCGAAAAGTGTCAGGATGCCCTTCCTTAAAGCATGACAAATTTGATTTGCATCGCTCTGGCACCTTTTTGAAAACAGATAAAAGAGATGATGATGATGATGATGATGAGCTATCTTTTTACAATGTAATTGATTCATAATTAATCAACACAGTCATTAGCAGTCGCAGAATATATTTTAATCACGATTTGATCATCAATTCCGAACAACAAACGGAGCAAAGGAGCCAAAGGAGGCAGCATTGGGCAATCATAACGATGATTTGGCACGCGATAAGGCAAGCACCCTTGAGCCCGGAATCGAGACCAGGAAACCGGAACCCCTTTACCTTCTTTTTTATTTTTTATTTATTTGCCACCCCTAAAAAAGCAGTCATAATGAAATATGCATATGGAAAAAAATCTGTCTCTCCGCGTGTTCGTCCTTTTGTTTGTCTGCCGCCGGGCTCTGCTCCTGGCAGGATGTCAACAAGGACGACACGCTGGCAGAGTTACTTCCGGATCCGTACAGAGCCTGCACTGCTGCTGTGCGGCAGTTAATTTAATTACCCTTTAAGTAACCAGATCGAATGGCCAATTTGGAGTTATGGCCTTTGGAGCCACTTGCATCCGCATCCGCAGCCACATCCACATCCCCAGCATGGGGCGACGGAAAAAGGACTAAGGTCCTGCCCAGGCCTGGCTTCGGTTGTGTGTGTGTGTTTGTGATAAAGTTTTTGTGGCCTGCACTTTGCAATTGACATTGTTAACAAGATTGCACTGAGAGCTTAAAAGAACTAAAGAATATGTGAGGATTTTTAAGGCATATGTAAGGACACAGAAAATCCTTTGGAAAACTAAATGAAATGTGCTATAAAGCCAAGGAAGAAATATGTATAAATATATATACTTGATTCTATTCTTTTCATTTAAGAAGTATTTGTATTTTAATACACTTCCTAATTTACCCTTACAGTGTATTCTAATTTTAGTCAAAACCCTAAAACTCAGTGAAGGAGTCATTTTCGACCCCAAATGTCATATATTTTCTTGATCAGCATCAACAGGCGAATCGTTCTATCTATGTCCGGGTAAAATTTAATTTTTTCAAAATTTTTAAAATTTTATAAATTGTCAAAAATTTGAAATTTCTATAATATTAAATTGAGTATGCAGATTTGTTAACCTAATAAAAACTAACATATGACAGCTTTCCGAATTGAAATTAATCCTTTTTCGACCAAGTTATAACATTCTTAAACTTTACAAATTCTTTCATTTTTGAACTTTTCCTAATTTGAATTTAATGCAGATATTTATTTATTTTCCAACATTATCCGATAAATTTTATGTAATTTAGTGTTATATATTTTTCTTAACTAGTATTCAGCTTTATTTTTCGCCAAGTGCAAATAGCAACTTTTGGCTCAATTACAAGGACAATATCTGCAATATCCACACTCACACACGTGCCTGCGCCTCTGTCCTGTGTCCCATGTCCTGTGGGTTTTATTTTACCATCGACATATTAGAGCAACTATTTAGACCTTAAACTAGACATAGCCCCTGCTCCAGCTCCAGCTCCTCCTTTGACTCTCCTATCTCTCTGGTCAAATGTATTAATTTCATTCTTGGGTCCTTTGTTCTCTGCCTCTCTTATCGCCGCTTTTGGAAAATATCCTTTGGCCTCTCCTGTTTCGCCTTTGTTGGCTCTGTACTTTTTTCTTTCTATTTTGGTTGTGCGGCGTTTAATATCCGATTTCAGTTTGGTCCCCTTCCCCATGGCTGTTGATTCTTTTTGACAAAAGGCCGAGGAGAAGCATAGGGAAAACTCAGGGAAAACTCTGCCGCCGCTGCTGCTGTCTCCTTCGCTTTTTGTTTGACATTGGCGAAGTTTTCTATTTGCTCGGTGCGCCGTTCCCTTTTTGTTTGTTGGCTGTCCCTCGCCTGCGCGGAAAATCAAAATATTGACTCTTAACGGTGTGTGTTTATTGATCCTTTAGCTACCCCCAGAAATTTAGGGGAAGGAGTAGTGAGTCGAGGGAGGGCGAATTTTCTTTAGCGGGAAAACTACGGCAAGAAACGGGGAGAGGAATTTATGTTTCTCTCTTTAAATTCTCTTTTAATTGTGTTGAACAATACAACCTTTAAAGTTTCAATCAAGATTATAAATAAAAGCAAATATTTTTGATTAATTTGCCGTGTAAACACTTTGTTTCACCTTGATAGATTTCTTTTCCAACCACCTGCCACCCTTTTGCATGTCATAATTGAATTCAAATCACAAAAGTGTCACACAACTAATCAGAGTTGTCATTTCCAACCCTCCAACCCTTATCCTTTTTGGGAAATCCCACCCTCGCCTGGAGCTCTGTGACCGTAACTGTAGTCAGAACTCCTCGAAATGTGAGAGAAGCTCAGTTTCCATTTCTATTTCTATTCGAGTTTCGGTTTTCGTTTTCAGTTTTCGTTATTCGTCGTCGATGCTGCTCATCTGCTCGTTTTTCGACATTCAAACTGTCAAAAAGTCAGCATCAATTACAGTTACAAAGACATCATAGCCCAGACACACGGAAATATCCTGCAAATATCCTGCATTCCGTACAGTTTTGGGTGTGAAGTGCAGGAGCAGCGGGTGGATGGGGGGGATATTAGGGGGTCAAGGGTCAGAGTAACAGCTCAAAAGAAGTGTGTAGCCCAAAACTTCGCTGTAGATTTGCATCAAAATGCATTTGGCCATAACAGGAGCAGGACAGGAGAGGAGTGGAAAAAACTACAGATTTTTGCGAGGGTGAACTCAGGAGTTTTTGAAAAGTATATTTCATTTGAAAATTGCTGTTTTTACTACAGGGGGACATATATATCTTAATGATATATTTATTATTATATTTTAAACCACAATTTTGTGACTAATAGATACTCACCAACTATAGATAAATGATATTCAACTATAAATGTAGCACAGTTACTCTTTAATAGCTTTTATTTAATTGTTAAATTTTAATAGATAATAAACTATAGCATTTAAACATAGTAACTTAGCAGTTAGCTCTTCAATAAAAGTTCGCTAATAGATACTTACCAATAGATACTTCCCAATATTCACGATAAGATATTTATTAATAGCTCTTCAGAATCGATATTTCTCTATAAATATTTACCAAAAGACTTCCACTAATAGAAACACAAATTTATTTGTGTGAAAGCTATTGCTCTATGGAAGAGGATCTCTGGATTGTCGTTAATTTTCTATTTTCTCCTGATATTATTTTTTCTAAAATTTGATAATTCGTGGAGTTAACTTTACAATGAACCCTCGCAATCGTATAACCCGAGGAGGTCGGTCGGTCGGTTGGTCATATGCAAAAGTCTGACATATGCGCTGACATTTTGCATGCAAAAAGGAGCAGCAGCAGCAGCAGCAGCAGCAGCAGCAGCAGCAGCAGCAGCAGCAGCAGCAGCAACATCAGCAGCAGCAGCAGCAGCAGCAGCAACAGCAGCAGCAACATCAGTCGCCTCAGCAGCTCTTTCCCCTTGTCGAGTTGCATGTCAAAAGTTTGATGAGTGCCTGTCCAGCTTCGCCGCATGTCAAAGGCTGGACGGGATTGGGATGCGGATGGGGGAGGGGGAAGGGGAGGGGGAGCGGTACCGGTACAGGCTTTTGGCTATTGAATTACCTACAGGCTCAGTCCGAGGCCGAGGCGGCACCACTACTCTCGTTTGAGAGTGCATTCGCTTTGATTTTCGGCCCCTGTTTTCCTTTTTTCTTTTTTTTTTCTACCCAACTCAGTGCTCTGTTTTGGGTTTTCCATCTCTCGGGGGAAAATTTGTTGTTAAAGGGGAGGGGAGGGAAGGGGGAGAAAAAAGAACCACCCACCAAGATGAAGTTGTCTCTTCGATAGAGAAGGCGACATATGTAAAATGTGTAAAGTGCAGTGCCGCTTACAGTTAATTTAATGCTCATCAGATGCGAAGTACTACTATATCTCTGTAGGATGATAATGATAATGCACCCTCTATTAAATCACAACATTCTGTCTGCTTTGGGTTTTTTTTTCGTTGTTGTGCTTCTGTAAAGGTACTGAGAGAAAATATTTGAAACTTTCTAACTTATAAAAATTATATTTTTATACCATTGGAGGGTATTATAATATTGGTCAGAAGCTGGAAACGGTGTGAAGGAGTCATTTCCGACCCTATAAATCATATATATTCTTGTTCAGCACGAAAAGACGAATCTTTCTAGCTATGTTCGGCTAAAATTAAATTTTTCAAAAATTTTAAACATTTTTATAAGGCTTTACATCGTTAAAATTGTCAAAAATGTCAATTTTATAAATTTTTAACTTAGAATGCAGATGTTAAAGTAATAAAAACTAGCATAGGAATGCTTTCCGAATTGAAATTAATGTCTTTTTGGCTGAGTTATGAGATTTTTAATCTTTGATTTGTCTAAAAAATGTTCTTATCAAAATATAGATTAAAATATGCGAAGATTTAAAGCTTAGTTAAGATCGATTTCCGATCCGATCTTATAATTCAATTGCAAATAGCCAGGCTATATATATATATAATCCTGGTCTTTGGAAAGTTAGTTGCCTTTCTTGTTGAATAATAAATTACCTTAGAAAGGTATAATTTGTATTATTTTCAAGATATAAAGAAACTGGTTCCCAGATCTATTTCATATATTTATTTAGAATATTTTCTCGCAGTGCATCTAATGCATATCGGTAGTTCCCAAAAACAAAACAGAAGGCAGTAGGGCTGATGATTATGTAGAGGGGGTGGAGGTAAACAGAGGCAGCAAGGACACACACATAGGGACAAGGACCAACTGACGCATCACTCAATCAAATGGCAATTGTGAGGGCTTAACACGCGGCCTCCGGGGCTGGCAAGAGCAACCCTCGCTATTTAGTTGTAGAGCAGATAGAATCCTGGCTGCATCCCCCTGTTGAAGGTCCTGGAAGAGACTCTCAACTGAAACTGAAACTGGTGCAAATTAACACGCTAAGCACTTGAATCGCACGTTAAATGTGGCATGAGTAATGCCCTCAAGTGGCCAGCAACAACAGGAACAGATGGCGAGGACGACGGTGGCGCAGGAGGAGGACATTACAAGCCACTAAGCCAGAGGAGCCTCCACGCATCCATAAATGGTTGTAAAAATTTACGATGCAAACTAAAAATCTCTGACAAAAGTATTTTTGCCTTTTGGCAAGGGAAGGAGAAGTCGCCTTCGCCTGTTATGGTTATGACTATTCAATGGGCCACATTTATGATTGGGTGGACTTTCCATAAATTCTAATTTGATTTTGCCACTAAAGTGCCATAAGAACGCAATTTCGTTCCTCCCTATGTAGATATGTATAAGGATATGTTTCTATATTCCCCATATTCCTTTTCACTACGTAGCGTACAAGTATATATATTTTTTGTGGTTGGATCCTTACGTTGGGCATAATTTTTTACGATGCTCGCTCGCTCGGCGACATTTTCATTCGCTTGCCATTTTCCATTTTCTACTTTTCCACACACACACACACACACACAATGGGGAAAAGCCAAATCACAGGCGCCCATTTTCAGTGGCTTTGTTGGGGCTCGTAGACTCAAAAACTCCCCAAATCGTGAAAAGTCTCTGCTGTAAGGAAGGGTATATAGACTTTCAGAGAAGGTTTTCGAGATATATTTTGTAGTTTTGCTATTCAAAATATGTGTCCAAAGAAAATACAATTTACATTTACAATTTACAATCACAATTCCATTTAGCAATTAATACAGTTAATTTAGTAATCTTTAGGGGTGTCAGCAATATCACTATGGATTTTAAATCAATTGAAAATATTTTGAAAAGTATGTAATAAAATCTTTTAGATTCCAAATTTTGGTAATTGCTAAGGTTTGATATTTTAAACTTTATTTAAATTTTTTTTAAAATTCAGAGCAATTGATGTGTCACTCCTGTGTTTATATTCCCCAGTGTGTAAAAGTAATAATTATAAAGTTTAACTAACAAATTATATCTAAATTAGTTTTGTTTTTATATTGTAGGATTTCTTTGAACATCTTTTTAAGAGATTTTAAGCCTTTGTCTATTTATGTTTTAATAAGTTCCCAAAAACAACCTTTCTTTATTTTTTCTTTATTGATATATTAATAAGACTTAGTTAAATTGAAATTTAAAGTAGAGTGTTTCCATATTCGTTTATGAAACTTAACTTTTGTGTTCAGTTTTAATGCCGTGCCATTTTTTGTGACCCACCTCTCCATTCGTGGTCCTGTATGTGAATGTGTATGTGTGTTGTTCGTGTTGCTATTTTATTTTATTATATGCACTTTTCTTCTACAAAATGGCGGCAAACGTCGCCGCATGGTCCTGTTGTTCGGAGGTCCTTGGAGGAATCCAAGGATGCCAAGGAGGGAGGGGAGCATCATCGTTATGGCTGCGGTTATTTGGCGCTATGTTTTTGCGCTCCCTTCTGGCCTCGGTCTGCTCCTTGAGCTCCTTTTGCTCCTTCAGCTCCTTCTGCTCCTGGTGCTGCTTCGCGCCTCGTTTGAGTTTTACGAGCGGCTTTACTTTCTCGCAGCTATTTCGACTTTGGCTTTTTAACAGCCTCCAAAAGGTTGCCAGGGGGATTTCATCCCCGTCATCTTGGGATGCCCCACGTGTGTTGTCCATTTGTGACGTTGATTTCTCCCCACCTCCTCGCTTCAGAAACTTTCTACAAGTATATGAATGCCCCTCGTTCCATTCAGTCTTTTGGTTTCTGGACGCAAGCATCTGCGGTAGGCAGAGGAGGAGGAGGAGGAGGAGGAGCAACAACAAGAAGTCCGCCGCCTTATGGTTGGATCGGTGACATGCCCCATATGGAAAGCAGCCGGAAGGCACTGAGAGAAATCTGAAAGAAATTAAAGAAATTGTATTTGTAGTGGATTAATTAGTTTAAAATTGATTTAAAAGAATTTATTTTGGGGGTAAACTGTTTTAAAGCCTTGCTTTATTTGGCAAAGTTAATGGTTAAATTGATATAAGATAAATACCAGATTTATTTGTTTATTCTCATACTAGATTACAACATTATAGGTATTGTTAAATGTTAGTTATGGTAACTTGAGTAATTTTAGATAATTAACTGGTTTTCCACCTATGGACATTCGCAGAAAAGTAGGCAACAAATTTAAAGGGAAATGCAGCCTACGAATTTTTGATTGATTGAAGGTGTTTGTTGAATAATATTAACTTATGTAAAAGGTATAACATTTTTAATAATACATAATTTTGTGGTTCCTATTATTATGATTTAAAAAGTGTCTATTCTCTAACAAATGTTTTAAAATAGTAGAACAAGAAAACATAAGACTCTATTTAAAGATTTTTTCTGGTTTTTAAAAATTTCTTCATAAACTCTCTTGTTCCTTTCAACTAATTCTTTTTTCTCACTGTGTTGTGCTGACTCAAAACTGCTGAAATTTTATTTTCAACGCGCGTGTCGTAATTGAAGACGCAGCAACTCTTTCCCCCGCCTGTCTCCGTCTCTGTCAAAATATAAATATATATATATGGATATATATTTAATATAAGACAAAACGTTTACCCCGTTGTCAGTCAGTGGATGTGTGTGTTTTTGTGGTAAATGGAAAACGCTTTGGGTGGCGTTCGTTACTAAGAAAACACAGGAATATGGTTTTTGGTATGGCATTTTGCTCTACGGATAGATGGATGGATGGACGGGTGACGTGTTGATGAATTTTCATTTGAAAAACTCTGGGCTAGACAGGATCGTGGATTATATATACACACTATGGAGTGATTGCCACATCCGTGTTTGTCTGGCCTACCGCATGGCTTGGATTTTACTTGGGTTTCATTTCTTCAGAGATTCATTTCGCCAAGTTCTAGAGTTTCCCTTCGGCTCCCCTTTAATTTGGTCTTTTTGCACACACTTTTTCTGGCTAAAAAATTCAGCATACACTTGACAGCTCAATCCCGGCACTTGTTCACTCTTTAACCATTTTTCGGTAATGCGAGTTTAATCATTGAAGTATAATAAAAAGTGAGCAGCAGCAGCAGCAACCCCGAGGCATCTGCATCCATCCCCCTTTAAACCAAACTGACAGCGCAAATGTCTTAATTTATTCATAACTTATTATTTCTCCTTTTTTGTATACATGTTTATTAGACTGTGTGGAGTGCAGGGAGGAAGGGAGAAGGGAGTGTGCAACCCCTCGCCGCACTAAACAATTTCCATGTTTTGATTTATGAATGATAATGCGCTGTGACATATCCGAACCTAACCCAACCGAAGTGAACAAGGCAGAGGACTTTAAGGCAGGGATTCGTTCGAGGATTCACGAGTATTCAGATTCAGTTGTAAATGCGAATGAGCCCTGAAGGAGCAGGGACTTGATTTTGGGCATATGTCTGCATTGCCTTTTAATTTGCATTAATGGGCGTGGTAATGGGTCTGCTGCGGATGCTGCTTTCTGGGCGGGTTTAATGAGGCGCAGCCTCTTTGCCCGAAATGTGCCTATTTCAATTTTCAAATAAGGGGTTCCACTAGCAACTGTCGCGAAAAATTACAAAATGAAAATAATAGCAAAAAGGGTAATCATTTCATGGTGGGCGTGGCTGCGGGGTTATAAGTCAATAACTAATGGCTATATTGGTAGGTTTTCGTGGAGATCGGGGTTAACAAGGCGAGGGGCTTTCGGTATAATCATTAGAAGGGTTTTTAATTTGAGGTATTAGTGGTTCTAGATAAGATATACAATTTTTCTGTTACTAGTATTTAAACCCTGGACAAAAGGATTTCGCAACTTTGAAGTATATATTTTTTAAGATTTTTCCTTTTATTTTCTACTTAATTTATAAACAACATATTTCTGGGTGTTATATTTCACATTTTCTTTTATGTGTACGGGTTTACTTTATGTGCATTTTATTTTCTTTAATTATAAGGTTTGTTTTTGCATTAATATTTATTTATAAAAGGGCTTTATGACCTGATAATTTTGCTTAGGAAGTTGGTTTCCATTTTCTGCATATTTGTTTCCTTAAAAGGCATTATAATGTCAGTCAGAAGCATATAACGCTTGAAGAAGACATTTCCGATCCCATAAATCATATATATTCTTGATCAGCATCAACTGCCGAATCGATCTAGCTAGCTCGGAACAAAAACCAAATTTTTCAATTTTTCGATAATTTTATAAGAGGTTACATCGTTAAAATTGTCAAAAATGTTGATTTTTTTAGATTTTAAACTAAGTATGAGGAATTGTTAACCTCATAAAAACTAACATAGGAAAGCATTCCGAAATGAAATTAATGCCTTTTTGGCTGAGTTATGAGATTTTTAAACTTAAATTGTCGACAAAATTGTCATATAAACTTGGGCTTCGCGAAATTAGTTATTGTTTTTATTATATTGTTTTATATTTTTCTTAACTATTAACACAACATAAAAGGTGTCTAGGTACTTTGTCCCAGTTTAATTGTAGTGAAAAAATATGTTGTTAATGTTTTTAAATCATATAGTTTTTATCCCTTTCAAGGATATCTCCTCCCATTTATATGACTTTAACTATTGCTTGAATTTCTTCTGACTTAGTGTGTCGCTTTTGGCCATTATTTGGCTTATTATTTATGGGATGCTTTAGTGGCAGAGCCTATACACATAAATATGCATATCTTATGAACCGCAGGACGAAGGCAATCCTTTCGCTGTGGTTTTCCCGATGCCTTCCTCTCTGTCCTGCGGTCTGCAGTCATCTCTGTTTCTCTGCTGTCTCTCTCTCTTTCCCTTTCCCTCTTTTTTGGTTTGGGAGCGTGAAAATCAATTTACGTCAATGTCTCTGGGTCCGACGGGTTCTCCTCCTCTGAATCCTCAACTGAATCATCATCATCATCAACATCAACCGGGCGACAGTCGCAAGGTAAATGAATTAAAAGTGCTCGGGCGATACACGTAAAAATTCATTTGCATCGAAGCAGCGGCAACAACAACATAAAAAACATAAATAAAAATAAAAAATAAAGTAAAACGGTGGCCTCTCCCCTGGCCAGAGAAATTAATTACGATCTCAACTGGAACCTCTTATCAGAGACGAAGGTGCGGCCCACAGCTGCCTTTTTATTCTTTCCCTTTCCCCTCTTTGATTTGTCATTTCATTTCTGTTGTTGTTTTCATTTTACACTTTTTTACGTTTTTTAATTTAACGCTTAATTACCGAGCAACACAAATTAGTTAAATTTCCGCAAAAAGATTTTCAGCCGGGGGTTGCCGTTACCGTTGACAGCTGTGTGACCGATATAAAAATAATAATACAAAAAAGGAGGAGAGGCGCTTTGGACAGGGCGTGACCGCAACTGCGGTCCTGCGGAGTCCTTGAGCGTGACCAATTGAGTTTACAAAATAATTCTGCAGGCTAAAATTTAAAAACTATTAAAAAATGTGCATTTGAGAGCCTTTACAGAAATATGAAGGATATAAGTTGGTATAGGAACATATTGGGAACTAGGGGGTGCTCTTTGTATATATTATTTTGGAGGAACTTGTATGGGAATTAATATAATGGAGGTTAAATAATTAAATTTTAATTTATTAAGGAATTTAAATACCAACTTAAATGGGAATTATTTAAGAATTTCCAAGGTCCTGCCATTATTTAAAGTTAAAAATCTCATACTTTTCCCTTTCAAGTTTTTGCTCAATAACTATCTCCTTTTAAAGTAGCTTATTTTTATAGTTTTAATATAATTATTTCTTTACAAATCAATCGAAAACTGTTCCCCAATAACCTCTCCGTAAAACAGAATTCAAAAATCATAGAAAACCGCGCCTCACTCGCAACCACAAACTGCGCTAAACCAAAATATTTATAAATGCAATTAAGGCAAAACAGTCACAGTCGTCGCCTCCCTCACCCAAAAAGCATAAACCCATCAGCATATATCCTATATTTATTTATATATAGAGGGGTGCTTTGCTTTGACCATATCGTCATGCCTGCCACAGGACGAAAAAAAGAATATATATTGAAAAATGCGGTCAATTCCGATTTCAATTTCTATTCCGAATTGCATTTGCCGGGGCAATAATTGATGGCCAGTGCGAGTCCGGGACCCTGGCTGTTTTCCATTCCACTTTCCAAACAAAGGGATAAGTCTAAGTAAGTGGGTTATTAGCACCGCAGGATGTCCGAAGAGTGGCAAAAAAGGACATGCAGAGGCAGACGAAAGGACCTCCTGCCGGGGTAAGATGGGAACCCTTGCTGGGCATTATAAGAGTCACGTCCCGGCTTCTGTTGATGTGATTATTGCTGTTGGAGGCGGTTTCATATTAGTAATGTAAACATACACAGGGGGAAATAATAGCAAATCAATTATAATTTTATGAAAGTTCTCAAAATATTTACAATTTGGAGAGTAAAAGGTTCCCTGTCAGGTTATTCCTTGTTGTTTTAAGGATTGAATTAATAGAAATTTGCAATAAGAATAGGTATAGAATATCGATATTCAGATAGTGTATCTGTATTTGACGATATGATATGTTGGGATATATATTTGCGATAAATCAGTATGCATATTTCTTTAGTATATATTCCAAATATGGATATGTTTTTAGAATAATTATATTATTCTTAGTGTAGAAAACCCCAACAATAGGTCACGGTTATGCCGTGCAATTGAAATTCATAAGAGGCATAGTATTCCGAGCTCCATTAGCCACAATTGAGATATCCCTGTGAACTATCTCTACCTCTTGGTGGCCCAAAATCCCTGGCAAATCCGTGTGACATGACGAATTGTCTCTGGTCCTGCCAGAGATTTAAGCAATAAATATATATATATATAATACGTGTATTCAAGTGACAGCTGCTGTACGTGGTGTGCTGC